CTTGTTTACCAATAATGAAATGACATATGATTTCGGTTTTTCTCGACAAAATCTTAAAAAATGAGCTGCGACAAGAAGTCGTCGGTCCAAATATCTACTGTGTCAAAAAATATTGAGAAAAAAAAATATTTTTTTATTTTTTCATCTTTGAACCCTTGTATATTTTTTATTACTAACTTTTGCACTAAGGTACTACGGTATGGCCCATTCGTTACAAAACACAATGCATTTCATGTATATGTTTTTCTCTACGTTGTAGTTTGGCGGGAAATCACTAAAAAAATAGTGTACCACAATTACTAACAGTAAATATTTACTTTTTGAGGAGTAAATCAGATATTGGAAGTACCTAGAAATCGTTTAAATAACTACGACATGGAAAACATCACAAACTTACCTTACATTTAAATAAACGAACTGCAAGTTGTCCCAGCAGAGGTCAATGTCAAAATTTACCGCGCGGTGTAGAGACCGACACTGACGAACCCCCAACAACCACTTGCTGCGCCTAGCACGTGCTGCGGTGTGTGCTTTTTGCCGTCTCTCGTTTGGGACGCCCTTTTGACAGGCGCCTGAGATGAGAGGGTGAACTGGGCCAAGTTCAGGACTCGGCGGGTGAAAGTTGGATTCGAGAATGAAGAAAATTATTATTTTTTTTTTTTTGGTTGTTTTGTTCAGTTCGATCTAGTGTCGTAAGCACGGCATCGACATGGCAAACCGGGGCAATGCCCGAGACCCAGGTTTGTACCCGAATGAAAAATTAATGCGCTCAGTTTTTCCCAAAATTGTACTAAATTTTATAAAATCGTACTATTGTACAAAATGTCTCTATAATCCTTATGTCAATGTTTTGTACAGCGGAAGTAAAGAATAATTTCTGAAATTAACATATTCTACTATAAAAAGATAGGTACGTAGTTTACCTACATAGATTCTAAATAAAGGATAAATTTTTCGAGAGAGCGGAAATTCGAGGCGATATTTCAAAATTACAGAAAGTGCTCTTCGATCACATATCTCCTTTTAGAGTCTTTCTTGGTTCGAATTCGACTTGCAGCAGCAACGTACAGAGAATATATCGTACACAAACGTTTATTTTTCTATTACCAAAAGTCATTTTAATACACTGCATAAATATAAATACTTAATTTCTGTATCAAATCAGTGATAACCTTAAGAACAATTTTTGTATAATTTAAAAAACCAAAATAAAATGTAATGTAAAATGTGCAAGTAAAAATGTATTAGCGGCGTTTTTTCTTCTGATAGTTAACTGAGTATAACTGTAAATCAATGACTGTCTTTAATAATAATAAACTTATGCAGGTATGGTGAAAAGTAATTTGTATAAGATATACTCAATATTCTTTGAGTAGGTTTTAAAAAAAATTTCAAAGATTATGTTGCAATTTCTTTATAAGAGTATACCTACTCTTGAGTATACTGCTAGTGCTACAAGATCCTAAAGAAAATAGTGTTTTAAAAAGTCTAATATAATATTTTTATTTCAATGTTACGTAAATGCAGAATGCAGCCTATAAATAGGACATTCACAATGGTTTTTAGTGATGAAAGAGTATTAGTGATAGTGACTATAAGAGACTAATCGGAGTTAAGTTATGTTGATAGCTATTATCAACTTATCAGTGACTAAATTCGTTGATTCCACGGCGTGGGGTCACGCGGCAAAAAGCCACTTAAAGTCATTACAGGCTGTGGAAAGCATAGCCCTCCGCACGGCCACCGACGCGCCCTGGTACGTAAGAAACTCTGATATATTACGAGACTTACAATACACAAACGCTACACAGACAATAAGACAAAACGCGGAGAAACGGTTTGACGTAGCCGCTAGACATGACAATCCCCTCCTCAGGCAAGCCGTTGACTACGTACCCGACGTGACCGACAAACACAAAAGACCTAGACACCAACTTTTTGACCCTGGGTGACCACCCCAATGACCCCCCCCCTGCCCGCTAACCTTTTCTGTTTCAGAGACAGCCAGGATCAAGAAACGAAGACAACGACACACACACACACACACACACACACCCCCCATACCCTCCTTAACCCTCCCCTCCCGCGCTAGCCTAAGGGCCACCTTAGCAAAGCGCATCCCAGGCTGCATAGCCGCACTACCCTACCCAACCATACCACACATAAACATGACACTACCCCCGGGGTTTACACAGACGAGCCGGCGAAGCAAGAAGAGCGCCAGAAGAAAGGGCCCTAGCCGGCGGGGCCCAGCCAGGACAAAAGGAGGTCCCACAAAGCGCCTACACCGGCCGCATTTGCGGTCGGGGTAGACGACGGATGGGGCCCACCTACGAAGGCTGTCCAGGCCTACACGAGATGAGGCAGGATAAAGAGGGATAATCCCCCTCGATCCCAAATCATTGAGGCCAATTTCTAGCCATGGAATAATGGCGCGAAATTCGTTGATATCCGTTTATTAGTGAGTTGAGCCAGTTGATTCACTAATTTCGCGTTTCGCGACTGACTGTGCTAGGATATGGTCGGAGTTCTTCGAGGGACACGCTGTTTGAACTTCAATGGTATGCTTTGTGGTGTCGAATTTCGACATATTTCTAATTTCATTGTTTGTGTTTAATTCCTAGAAAATAACTTCAATGTATATATACAACTGTTTTTTTCTTATTTGCATGAATAACAGTGTCCATACTCGATACATATTTTATGTACTACTAGTAGCATAATTTTGTACAATATTACATATTTTTAGGTTAAGTGCATAAAGTACATATCGTTCCTCTTATCACGTAGGGGCGTATAATCCAAGAAATGGATATACACATACGCCTCTACGTGATAATAGTGACGATATTTTTAAAAATGTTATTTTTTCTGAAACCGACTCTGTGCAACTTTTCGATTGCGTTATTGCACCGATCGGCTATTCTCGGGAATCTCGGTTGCAAATCTCCATCTTTCTCTATAACATTTATTATAATAAATCAGAGTGAGAGAGAGAGCGACAACTGAAATTTAAATCTTATTTGGAGTTATAGAGGTGTATTTATTAGATTTCTGGCTTTGTTTCCGTTTCCTACAATACAAAAAATGGAATAACAAGTAGATATGATGAACTGCAAACGATACTATTTACTATTTGTAATCCGAATTTGTAAAAAACATATTATTGATACTATTGTTCATAGCATGAATGAAAAACGTTTTTTTGTCACAAAATCACTTAAAGGACATTTTATTGATGCGGGTAATCATATAATTAGAAACTAACTTTGGACTAATGTTTCAAATTTTCTAAAAGTTCTTTCATATTTAAATCTAAATAATATAAATAATTCCTAACATTGAAAAAAAATTAAGACGTTTAAAATTTTGTAAGGTCTTTTTATATTTAAATCCAAAAAAATATATAAATAAATCTGATGCTGGATATTTTTAAAATTTATGAAATGTTACTGTACAACTTGGATTTGTTAATTTTTTTTGGTTTCTACTTTCTTTTTCAATCAACTAGTAACAATGGCAATAATTATTGATACGTCTAATTCAAACTGATGAGAAATAGGGGGGAGCAAAAATTTGAACAGTTATTTTAAATATTTTTATTTTATCAGATATGTGCGCTCTTTTAAAGATATACACAATAATTCTACAAAAATATTAGTTCTATATTATAATATTTATAGTAATTTGTATATTCTTTAAATTTCTCAATAAACTATAAACAAATAATAATAAAATTGTCAACAACAATAATTTACTTAAGTGAATATACATATAATACATATACAGGGTGAGTCAGGTCTAACATAGTTAATTTAATTTTTTTTATCGGCCATAAAAAAATGGTACAAAAAAGTTTATTTGCAAATTTCCCTTAGCCGAAAAAATATAGACATTTTTAAAATTTAATAGCCGTGTATTTGGAAGGGAATGCATTTTTGGACAAGTTCCATACGGAAAACTGTGTTTGTCAAGAATCTCAGTCTGACGCTAAATGTGAGTCACCCTGTACATAAAATTTGTGTAAAATATATTTAATGTAAACAAAATCGAATATAAACATTAAATTTGTTATAGAGAGAAGTACAGTTATCGATTTGCCCAAATTTGAATTAATAATCCTCACTTGTCACAAAAAAAAACAGAAAACAAAAAACAAAGTGAAATAAAAACAACTACAAGTTATAAATAATCTACTTATCACTTCTATGTTATCACTATTTGTAATGTTACCTTATACAGAAGGTATTCAACCTATTAGATACAACTTGTACCTAGAAGTTTGTATGTTGATATAAAAAAGTACTCCAATTGTTAAAAAAATATACAAAACTTTGAACGAAATATAGATGTTTAAAAAAAGATACAGAGATAATATTTAGTTGTATTAAATGAAAAATATTTTATATGTACGGTTATTTATAAATAACAAATTGACATGAAAAATTTTGAATAAACAAATATCAAAGACGTCACTTACTATATCACGTTAGACCTCTTTTAACTGGTATATACTGTTTAACTCTTAGTCTCACATAAACGCTCTGTATATAAATATCAGAATAGTACGATATGCGATATGTATTAGTTATTCTGGAAATATCCAGAGCAGTCGTTTACTATTAATTATAATAATTAATATTAAAGCAATGAATTGGCTTCTAATAAATTACATAAATACATTTTATATACCTACAACTAATTCGATTTGAGGAAAGCAACATTTCCTACTTACGGAGAGCTGGGGAAAGGAAGCCTTTTTACTAATAATAAGAATAATGTTTAAATATTTTGAATATATGATAATAATAATATATGAATATATTTGAACTACTCATCTTTTGATACATACAGGATGTCCCAATGTAATATATTTTAACACAGAATATCATTTCATTGAAGTAAAATAATAAAACAATGTCATTATTTTAAAAATGTTAGTATTTGGATGAAAATAATACGATTTCAATAAAAACACGATTACATTACATTGCATTAAATTATTATTTACATAGAGGGTGCCCGATTTTTGAAACATGCTAGGAATCTAGATTATTTTAAGAGATATCTGGTAGCAGCAGTAGCAGAAATAATAGACGAATAAGATCAATTGAAAACTTCAAATATGTAGAAGCGTATTGGAATTTTTGCATTCTCGATTTAATTGCTTTTTTCTGATATGTCATACAATATGATTTGCTTTTTGTTTTCATCAAAGTAGCAAATTATCCATTTTTAAAAAGAGTGCTCTGAAAACAAAACATCCAACTACTACTCCAAATGAAATTTTGACAGTTTAATTAAATTTTCATTGAAATGTGAAAGTTTAGGTAATTAAAAATGCAATTTTCAGGTAAGACGAAGCCAGATACTCCTCAAATTACCCAATTAATATATTTGAAGCATATCTCACTGTTCTTCATGTGAAAATTGTATTTTTAGTTATCTAAACTTTGACACTGCCAACAGAAATTTAACTGAACTAACTGTCAAAATTTAATTTGAAGTGACAGTTGGATGTTTTGTTTTCATGGCACTCTTTTTAAAAGTGGATAATTTGGTATTTCCGCAAAAACAAAAGAGTAAATCATATTATACGACTCATCCTAATCAGAAAAATGCGCTGAAATAAAAAATGGAGAAATCCCAATATAGAGCACATAAAAATAAAATGTATACGTTTAAGAGAAATATATATCGAGATTTTAAGTTTTTCCTTGATAACTTGAAAAGACAGGTGATATTTCTCTTTGACAAGATGAAGCTTTGGCCTAATTTGAACGACCTTGAAAGTTAACAAAGGTACCAACTGTGCGGCTCGAAAAATGGGTACCTACCTTACATAGTTTAAGAAGAGGAATGACCAGCTATTTAACAGAAAACCTAAAATCTTATATATAGAAAAAAAATGCAAAAAGAAATTGCATTTTTTTTAACTGAAGGGGACACCCTGTACATTACTCCCGATTTCGACTGATTTAAACTAAAGTCTGAGGTACTGCGCTTGACTAAAATCATAACTACTCTTTTTTATAAATACTGACTAGATGAACTACTGTTTTCTACTTTTCCTGTAGAAGTAACCGCCACACACGGTACAAGATACCTTCTCAGTGGGATAATCAGACGACTTTTCTCTCTTGCTCCAGTCTCTTTCGAGCCGTTCCTGGTTGTCATATACTTGTTTCGTGAGCCAATTGTAGAAATAACGTAACAGGTTCCTTTCAGCGTCCACATTACTATATAAATCGTGATAACTCGTCTCAACGGCCTTCTCGAAGAACAGCAGTTCGTTACAGCCATCTTCATCTATTTTTTCAAAAAAGGAAAGGAAGGTAGAAGGAGCCTTCCCAGTATTTAACCACGTTTTCCACTGATCCTTCAGTCCTTCCGACGTTTTGCCGAAAAAGCAAATTACAACGTCGATGAGATGAAAGTATTTTGACCGGTCAGAGAAAATTTCATCCAAAGCTTGTTCTACAGAATTAGTGATGTTTTTTACAAGTATTATGAAAGTTCTAAGAATCCTGAATCTTATTTCTCCGGAGAAACAACTTAATATTCTTACTAGATAGTCCACAAAAAGTTCTATATCGTCCGAAGATACATTCCGTAAAGTTTTCGAAATCATCTCGTAGACATATTTCGTATTATTTGAACTCGGATCAGGTGTAAAACAATTACTTGTTAGAAATACACTAGCATCTCTCTCTGTTCTATTCATGACTCCCATGATATCGATTTCTTCCTCGTTGAGTTTAATTTTATCCTCGTTCATTATAAATGTAAGCCGTTTTTTATTCTCAGAATCATCGCCTGCCACTAACACGGCCAGAATGTCGTCTTTGCTAGGGATCTTTACAATGGGTGATATTATCATGATTTTACTATCCACATCCTTCCCTTTCTGTTTTTGGAGTGTCTGCTTTTGCAGCTTTAGAAACGGTTTTCTAGAGAGAGAAAAATAGCGTGTAATTCAAAACTGAATATTTTAATGTACATATTTTGACTCGACCATAGAAAATACATTTGCGTTCACTCGTGCACGCAATGTGATGCATCGAACAAGTAAACGTAAGAAATTTTAAAGAAACATGGCAAAACTATGTACACTTCAAAAAATATAAAAATAGCGCAAACGGAAAATCAGCTCAAACCACTAATAATTGTAACTTCTACACATACCTCGCTCTGTTATTTCGCATGGATTCCTGATAATTTTGCAAGATTCTGGCCTGTTTCTCATCGATGTATCTGGAATCCTTATGATGTACCACGTTTCCAAAAAATAGTATGGACGATTTCAGCTGGATGATAGTAAGTAAAGATACTGCCTTATTTTCTCTCACCCAGTGATCTATCACGTCGTATCCTGAATTCAACATGCTTGCGCCGGTGGCCCCTAAATTGACGTAACCAAGCGTGTGGATAGCGGCACCAGCTCCCTAAAATTAACATAAATTGCATATCGGACTGTTTTCTGAAGACTTTAAAATTGAAATAGAAGGAAAAAATTACCTGTCCGATATTTACACCGGCCGAAGCCAACTGGGACACGGCCACAGTGGCACCCACACCGACAAATCCCAGGGAACCGGCAAGTATACTCAGATAAGCCCCCCTAGCCTCGGAATTTGCAAACGTTAACGTCTGGAAAAGATTTTATTTCAAACAACTTCAAACTCCTCGTCTCTATACTAACTTCTTTGTGCTTCTTTCGATCATACAAAGTGTAAGCACTGCGCCCCATGGAGTAAATTCCAACCCCCAATCCTATGACACCGCCGGCAATGAGAGCGGCTGGCGCAACGGCTATAGTAGGGATAGCCGCTGCGATAAATATTCCCCCAGATATCAGTCCCCCTGCGGTGCTGAGGTAGTCGGCACCATGAAGAAGTTTTGAATCGACGCCGCAGGCTGGCGATAGGTGTCTTTCTAGAAGCACTTCGCCGTTTTCGTTAACTTCATACCTAAACGATTAAGAATAGATTAATTTGGCGATTAGGAAGACTTCTGTCGCAGTTACCTTCCGTTTAGAGGCAGAATCATTTCGCACTGGTGAAATTTATTCTTTGCGATGTATTCATGCCAGGTTTGATACGTGCGGCCGATATTGTCGATGAATACTCGACAAGGATCAGCGCTGCCATGGCATTTCCTTATGACGAAAATGGGAAGAGGCATAACGTCAGTGTTGGGGTTGTACTCTATGTATTTCTTCGCTCGGGACATCTTTTCCGAAGGCAGTGGTTCCGTACAGTTGTACATAAAAGATATTTCTACTCTTCCCTTGTATTTTGTTATTTCATCTGTAAATTTACGAATTCTCTTATATTAATTTTTTTACTTTAGTAAAAATTTATATTTATATCTACATAAATTAATAATTTTTACGATTCTTTTTAACAATACATTTTACGTATATCAGAATTAAAGCACCATTAAAAATTAGCCTGAATTTAAAAATTGATTTTCTCAAACGCAGCTTATCTGACATAGATTTATTTAACACTGCGCTTTTATTTAAATATGTATCTCAATTAACAACAGAGATGATGACGTGAACCAACAAATAAATTGTTCGGACAAGGGAAGACCATAAATAAATCTACAATTGAAATTCGGACCCTCTTTTTAAAATATTGTTACTCACGGTTACTTTTTAGTATGCTTCCATAGAGAGCTTCCACCTTCTTCAGATCCTTTTTCTCATAACCCTCCTCTTTCTGCGGCGGTCCTAGTAAAGCGAACGCTATTTTCTTCTTCAAATATTCGTGTTGATCGTGTTCGAACCTATCCCAATCCCTATCGCCCAACATATCAGCCATAAGTTTTTGATAGTTAGTGGAGCCCATATCATTTTCGCTGGCAGTTTTCTCCCTGAGCTCTTCCAGATTCTTCTCCTGTTGATTTTCAACAACCAGGAAGTTTTCCGCGTTGGACAGAGCCACAAGAAAATCTTTGTTGGATACTCTGCCTCTGATACAGGAGAAGATCGTTACGGAATCTTGAATAGGCACGACACATACAGCTGCTGAGATTTTCGATTCCACTATGGGACTGAGAGAAGATAAGTCGCGGCATCGATGTAAGGCTGACATTAAGGCACTTTGATACTTCGTTTCTTCTATGTCGTAACCCAAGAAGAAAAAGTTTCTATTTAGAATCTCGACGACTTCAGCTTTCTTGATATTTTCGCAAAGAACAGAGGAAAATTTGTCATTCTCGTTGTGCAGATAAAGGCATAAAGCTTTTCTCTACAATTTGAAAACAAAAATTTAGTAAACTGATTATTTTCAATATTTGCACACTGCTATCACTAGAATATTACCTGTACTGATACAAATTACAGTACTTGCCTTCTCTAACGACACCATACAGGCCTCATTGATTGCATCTTGTAATTTACAGGCATGAAAGTGAATCGGAGAGTTATCAAACTTATTCATTATTTTACTTATAAAACTGACTGCAGCTTCTACTTCAACATCTACGAAAAGCAAACCATATAAAAAATATTAACTAATAATTATTATTTTTCACCTTCATCTTGTTTATTATGCGCTAATTTAATATGGAACAATTTATCTTCTATACTCTTAATTACTAGATTTGTGATGTCGTCTAATTGTGCACAATCCTGTAATACTTCTTTATCACTATTTGGGACGTTTCTCCAACCATCTATGACTTGTTCTTCAGGCGATATACCATATAATTTATGAATCTCTACTTTTAACTTCCCTAAAAGTATAAAATTATCTTTAACCTAAGGATTTCCTTATGTAATTTTGTTTGAACTACATAACTTACCAACTGTATCAGTCTTCAGTAGTTGTAGAGAAGTCTCGTGAGTCTCATACAAAAGAGAAAAATTTAACTTACTGCTTTCGTTCTCCATTCTTAATAAGGAAATTTATCAATATGATTTGTATTCTGTTAATGCAGTATTCAAGTATCTCGATATTTCCAATAAATTCTAATTAAAAATCGTTGGCTGACCTTGGGTAAATAAAATTTTGTTAAGACAAAGAAGCAGTAGCAATGTATTTTTCATCCTTGAAAAATGTAAATATTTATTTCCTATTAATTTTGTTGAGTTTCCATCTCCACTTCTGTTTATACCCCACCACAAACCACAACTCAACATCTCACAACATCTCTATTTTTAGTTTTCTCAGGATTTTGACAGAATGACAGAGGTAATTGGAACTACTACTTACCAGCACGCAAGGATTTTATAAAATCCTTGACTTCACGTGTTTTGTGAAGTTGTTATTGGAACTACTAGTCACGAGTCACAAAACACCCTAAGGTGTCAGAGTCATTCCACACGACAGTCGTCCCACAGCTCGTTCGCGTGCCATAGCACGGATCGTGTGAAATTTGATCGAATACGCCTATTTATATTTTTTGCTCATGTGACCGAATAGTGGAAATAAGGGTCTGTTTATTTATAGTATCAATTATAATTCTATTTTGTTTTATAAATTGATATTTTATATCAAATATGTAAAAATTTTCAATAAACGCCGAAATCAATTTTAAAAATCTTGTTACGATTAGGAACTGGCCCAAGAATGTCCTTATTTTCCCTATTCGGTCACATGAATAAAAAAATATATATAGGCGTATTTGCTCAAATTTCACACGACCCGTGCCATGTACGGCTGTCCTCGTCCTAATGATCTTTGAGAAAGAACCGGTTTACTTGGATCAGTTATATTGCACCCATCTCTACTGCCGGCATTTGCAGCTGACGTCTATTTTTACTAAGTCAATGTGATTAATTAGATGTATTGGAAGTTGGAACTACTACTTGTTCTAAAATTGGAACCTTTAGAGCTATGAAACTAATTATTTACCATTAGAGATGGGAATAACATTATTTTTTATTTTAAATAATCGGAGCATCAGGTTACAATAGTTGTATTTGTTTTACCACTTGGTTAGTTCAGTTTGGTCAAATTGACAAAACTAGAAGTGACAGTGATTTGAACTAACTTTAGGTTAAATAAAACACACATCTACTCTATTTTAAATTTTGGCGTCTGTTTAGTTTCAGTTTAATTAGGTTGTTGTTGTCAATCATACTGTGCTCAGCATACTTACAATCAACATATCTTCTTAGGATGAATCCGTATCTATTATTAACGATTTATTTTTATTATTTGTAGGTTATGCTTTGTTCGGTTATCTTGTTCACTTACTAACCACGATATTGTTAGGTTAGATCGGAAAGGGGAAACTGAATTTGGTTTGTTCACTTGCTTAAAAAAAACGAACTGTACCGAGTAAATTAACCAAAATTTACCAAGTGTGTAAAACAAATATAGCTAATGTCATAAATCATTTCCGATTTCAAAATCGAAAGAAAATTTAAATTATATTTCATTTCAGAATTAGTTGCATGAAATAGAGGGTGAGGAAAGTAAATAAGTGATTAAAAAATAAAATACACAATTTATTGAAACATTTCTATTATTAAATAAAACTAATAAAACTTTTAAAAACAAATGTGAATAATGTAAAACAACTATGAAATAGCTAACCTGAAAGGTGAAAATTAAAACGATCTTCAAAATTTCATTCGTACACCTAATTTACACAAACTTCAGCTTCGTAGAACTACAATTACTTCAATTTCTCTTGTACATAATTACCAAATGAAATTTTGAAGATTAACTACGGCAGAATACCAAAGTTACTGCATACAGTAAAATGTGTATAAAAACTAAACCGTATTAGTAGAGAAGCTGACTGCACAAAAATGCAAGGCTCGAAGCCACAGTTAAGAGTAGCCGGAAGATACAGAGAGAACAACGGACAACACAGACCAGTCTCGGTTCGCCACTCACTGAACCAAAACGAGAGTTAAAGCAAATCGACAACTTTACATTAAATCATGTCATGGGGACTGATTATTACATTTACAGGGCAAATATCATGTATGTAATGGTACACGGCTATCACATTTCTTCAAAATATACACACGGGAGTAACGCAAACCAAGGACCAACAAATTATGGCGAAATATAAACAAAACTGCCAATAGTTCACTTATTGGAAAAATTTTTTAGCCGGTTTACCTTTCATCGACAATCATAAAACTAGCTGGAAAAATTTAAATTTGATGTTTAATACTGAAAAAAAGATATAATATTTAAAATTATCAATATATAATTTTTTGTTTCTGTTTCGTTTTCAAGTCGTCCAATCCTGTCGATTTTTATGAAATATTTATTGTTCACTTTATAATAATCGATCAGGTTCGGAAACTTGCACGCCATACCCTTTTAAATTGTACTGTCGGTTAATATTTTTGCTCTCTGTATATTTATATCAGTTTGCAGAACTTGATAAAGCACTTATTGTCGTAATAAACGGATTTAGCAGCTTAAGGTCCCTTTTGCTTAATATTAATAAATATATCTTAGCTCATAGCTACCATAGAATTGAGTGCTTAAAAACGACGAAATAAAATTTCTAAATATGTAACAGTTAAGTTATATTCCCTCAACATCGTCTGGTATCGGAGAAGAGGCATTACTTTTATTTTACATATTATATTGGAATGTGGTTAAAGATATAAATTTCTTAATTGTTTTTTGAACACATATGAATTTATATTTTGAGATTCGTACATCTAAACGTTAAAGCACCTTATCGCAGTATGCATAGAATTTGATCAACTCGTCGCGAATTTATCCGCGACCCAGAATTTTTTCTCTGAAAGTGTATTTACCGTAACAGATAATAAATAAGACATATGTAAAAATAAGTGTTTGACACAAATAAACAAACATATATGTATAAAAATAAAAAATGACCATAACCCACCCGAGCTAAATATAAATTTTGGTGACTACCCAATTGATAAAAACGTGATGTGAGACACGCTCACAAGAATTATACATGAAACTTAACCCTAAATTAAATTAATAAATTTTTTTATAATACACAAATTGTCGGCAACTTTTTATGCGAAAACACTAATATTCAAGCAAAGCTTAACATAAATATTGTGTGTCGAATTCGAAAACACACTGGCGGGTACATTTCATAGCTTGAATTAGCTCCATCTGGAAATAAAAATGCAAATTTGTTATTTTACGCAAATGCAATATGAACAAAAATGTCTTCAAATGAACCTTTTCCACTAGTTTCAACTTTCAACAATTAATTAAAATGCATCCTTACAAGTGGTCAATCATATTTATTTGGCCATTGGATAAAACGCAGTGAACTATGTATTAGTGCTATAAAATAAATACAAAATAATGAAAAACAAATAAGTAAATGAATCAAAATACTGTCGAGTAACTTTTATTAGCAATAACTTGCTGACGGAATTAATTTTGTCATTGCTGCAACCATGTTTGAAATAATTTCATTATTTATAGATTGCCAAACAGTTCCTGAAATAATTGGTATTTGTTGGTTACGTTTTTCTCGTGCACATTCTTTTTGGATATATCTCACAAGTTTTCGATAGAATTCAAATCTGGAAAGTGACTCGGCCACATCAAATTTTGTGCATTATTTTCAATAAACCTTTCCATTACGATTTTAGCCGAGTGTTTGCGATCATTAACGATTTGCCAAATAAATTTTGATGGTATTTTGCCCTAGGTTCTAGTATGTTTCGGAATTTAAAGCGATCCATTTTGCATCCAAACCGTAATATTAACTTTACCATGTTTTACTGTATTAGAAACGTATTTTGGATCAAGTATTTCCAAAAAAGACCAAATTGCGAGCCATCGTTACAGAAAATATTGAATTTACATTCTTCACTGAATAATATTTTTGCCAGTCCTTAATATTCACTGTACACAACGATTAGCAAACAACTTTCTAGCCTGCACATTTTTTTGTGTCAAAAATAGTTTCTCCACCAAACGGCACTGAGTTCTTGGAGACACATCTAACAGTTCACACAACTTAACCAACATCTCAGCTGATTTAGTCTTAATTCTCCAATCCAACTATTTTGTCGTTATTCATTTTCAACTGCTTCGTTTTAAATTAAAGACTCTCTCACGAAGACAAAAAATGCTAATAATTTTTAAAAACACTTGTTTAGAAGTGCCCAATTGCTCTTTATAGGCTTCGATAATTATTTCTAAGGTCTATTGAGTAGTGGAGTTCATGCAGCATTATATGCATTATATTTGGCCGATAGTTGAACAGAAGTTAAATATATCGCTTTAATTCTGTCATACATCTAATATTGTCCCACGAGTGCCCATTTTTTTAAATTTTTCGCTTATTTTACTTTGACGTTCTAATTTTGTCCCATACCTATACTGATATTCCATGGTATCACCACTGACTTCTATTAAAATATGAACTGTTATGACCACCACTTTGAAAACTTTTGCCAAACGAATTATGAATGGACAGCATTTATTTGTTTCTGTGCACTTAATTACAATATACATGTAGAAAACGCATAAGCATGATGTACCACAACCTTTAACAAAATATGCCTAATATAGAAATTTAACCTGAACAATTTTGCCGTTAAGGGTAGTAAAATTTTCTATGCAGGGGAGTACAAGTCACTATCTATCAGTGAGATTGGTATCATTGAATTGACGGACTTGACAGCGTTTTGTCTGTGTTCATTGGCTGGATACTGCAGTTGTGGAAATGTGATGGCGCTTTCCCACAATTCTTAAACTTTATATCTAATTTTATAGTGATACAAAAAATTGTGGAAAAAAAAACAGAGTTCGTGAAAAAGGTCCATATAAATTAGTTTAATTTTGAAACAAATTGATTAATAAAATTTTCTTTTAAACGTAGGAATATTTTTTTTTATTTATTTATTGGGGATTTTGTCACCTGTGAACAAAATTTACAAAAATTAGCTTGCACAAAAGGGTGTCGGGAATTTTTTTTTTTCAAAATTAGACAAATACAAAATAAACAAATCGCGCATTTAAAAAAGTTCTTGATGTTTCGAAAATCAATCTGTTTTTGTCTTCTTAACTTAGAATTACCTTTTGTTTTTAATTAATTTTGACAGTTTAAATTCGTTTTTTTTGCCTGATTCCGTAGTTAGAGACATCAGATGATGTTTATTCTATTATTACTTAACTTAATTTTTTAAAATTTGTAGCCAACTAGGCGAACCAATAGAGAATATCACAGCAAATTTCATGTATTACCTTTTGAAAAATACTTAGTAAATGAAAACCCAAGTGATTTTCCCAATAAAGTCGTGAACAATTTTTTTTTAAACAATACAAACTGCAAAAAAATGTCATTTTTTGTTTTTTTTATAATATCTGGAAAAATAATGATGGAATTGTCTTATTCTAAATAGGACTTTTGTAGAGAATAAAAAAACCTATAAAATGGTTTTTTGTGCAACCCGATTGGTTTATTTTTACAGAGAAAATCCGGAAAAATCTCTAAAATAAACTTTTTTTTCAAAATTTCATAACTCCATCAGAGTGACCGCAAAATCCGCCTGTTTTTGAGACTTTGACAGAGGCGACAGGAAAAATCCTAAAAATGTTCTGAAAATATCCAAAAACTCGTCATGAAAGTGAAAATGAGTTTTTCGAAAATTTTCAAAAATCACCCTTTTTTAGACAAAAAAAGTGAACAAATTAAGAATCATCAACAGTTGTAAAACCCCAAATATTTCTATGTTGTTATCAAAATAATATTTTTTCACATTATTTACAATTTTTGTATATTTGGGGGTGATTTTACCCCTCAAAAGGGATGATTATTTTTGAAAATGATTGATAATGTATGGGAATACTTGTGTATAAATTATTCTAATGAATATATTTCGAAACATTATTTTTTTCATGCATTATAATTATTTTATGTACTTTGAAGCCGATGGTTGAACTTAAGGGTGGTTTTACCCTCATTTAGGGGTATTTTCCTTCGGATCTAGTGATTGTGGGTTATTAACGGTTCAATTACCACGTATAAAAAAAATAGAAAAAAAATTCTTTTAATATATTTTTTGCATTTTTAGGCATTTAGGGGATGGTTTCACCCCTTTAGGGATATTATGGGTTGATTTTCAATCCGAACAAGACTGTATCAAATACGAAATTAGATATTTTCACGTACATAATATTATTTTGATAACGTAGAAATTTTAGAGTTTTGCAACTGTTGATGATTCTTAATTTGTTCACTTTTTTTGTGTTTTCAACCCCTAAATAAGGGCCATCTTCGAAAATTTTCGAAAAACTGAAAGTGATGCTCATTTTCATTTTTCATGACAAGTATTTGGATATTTTTAGAACGTTTTTAGGATTTTCCGTCGCCTCCGTCAAAGTCTCAAAAACAGGTGGAAAAATTGCTTTTTTTGCGGTCACTCTTTGAAGCTGGAAAAAGACAGATAATATTGTAGTTTAATCGTGTGCAAGATGGTTTCTGTCCGATGCATAGTTTTTGCATAACTACATTATAAACAAATTAAGGACTTTTTTGCACAGCATGGCGCTTTATCAAAAATGGTCCGATTTAAATTCTGAAAACGGCATCTGAAAGTAGAAGACAAAATCTCCAATTTGTATATTTCGAATTTTCGCTTGGGTGATGAGAAATATGCTAAAAATGCCCTTGAAAGTCACCCGAAACAATCGAAAGTACGCTCAAGCCAGAGTCCTCCGCTTGCTGCTTTTCTCACTACCGCTACCCGACTCTCTTCGATCATTTCGGGCGACATTCACGGGCATTTTTGGCATATTTACCATCACCCAGACAAAAATCCGACATATACAAATTGGAGATTTTGTCGTCTACTTTCAGATGCCATTTTCAGAATTTAAATTGGACCATTTTTGATAAATCGCCACGTTATGCAAAAAGACCTTAATTTGTTTATAAAGCAATTGTGCAAAAACTATGCATCAGACAGAAACCATCTTGCGCACGATTAAACTGCATATTATTATCTGTCATTTTCCGCAAGATTGTTTTTCCAGCTTCAAATTTGACGGAGTTATGAATTTTTGAAAAAAGGTTTTATTTTAGAGGTTTTTCCGGATTTTCTCTGTAAGAAATGTATCGATTGGATCGCACAAAAACCATTTTATAGGTTTCTTTTAATTTTCTTCCAACTTATTATTTTTCTTCTGCAAAATTTCGGTCGTATTCCACTGGATTATGACAGTTATCGCAAGACTGATCGCAAAATTTTGATTTCTCAAATTTTTAATGTAATCTTTGTGCTCGTCTATCCTAATATTTACAACTGTTTCCAAGATAACGTTTAATGCATTCACGATGCATGCTACAAATGCAATGTTGACAAAAAGGTTTTTAAAGTATTTGTTGTTTGAAAAACTGTTCCGAGGTTAAATTTTTTCTTCTTAATATTTCCGATAATGCAAGATATAAGAAATTTTTATGGTGTTATATCTTTGGCACGACGGTTTATTTCACAAATTTTTTAAATTTTGTTCACAGGTGGAAAACACCCAATAAATTCAAGTAAAAAACGAAAACTAAGTCACGAAAACGAAAACTAAGTCACAAATATACTCACATAACTGTATTATTGCTGTTGCGCTGTTTGCTGTTGAATCTCAATTTTCTCCACAGTCATGTCAGGGTTCATGGCCGTGGCCTCTTGGATGGCCTCGGCTAAAGCTCTGTCGTGGTCGATCGGGTCGCCGTCCGACTGGATGGTAATCTTCTGCTCCACTCTGGTCTCCACGACTCCGTCTCTTTCAGTTTTATACTAAAACCGAAATACTTTTCTCCAAACACGCTTCTATCTCCATCCGAATCTACTTACAGTAATAGTTTCCACAGTTCTAGTTTTGGAGCTGATAGTCTGCGAGCTGACGATTTCGCCCGTGGCACTGTAACTTCCGTCTTCGGAGGTTAAGTTCACTTTGCGAGCTTCGGTAGCAACGACCGGAACGCTAGTTGTGGAAGTTATGATGGTGGGATCGCCGCGATAGACGACGCTCTCCGTCTGCACTATACCTTCGGGAATGTTGTCCTAGAGGAAAAAAGTCAAGTTACTCGTTAAAAACGATAAGATTTGTTTTTGTCTGTACGTGTTGCAACGTTAATGTTTACCGGCACGGTGATTTATGAGAAACGGATAGTTTGATGGAATGCGACATTAAGCAAACGTTTTTAGTACATGATAAAAAGTGACATGTTTGTGCAAACGGTATGGAAGAAACGAATGATTTTGCTACTTCTACGGTACGAAATAGATATACAGGGTGGTCATAAATTATTTCCTGCAATTTTCAGGATGAATATACCTTTTACATAAACTTTTTTTCAGGGTAAAGGAAGATAGAGTATATTTTCTGAAATATCTTTAAAGTTTTTTGAGATACATTATTCATATTTTAATTTCTGTCCCGGTTTTCGATGGTGACATCACGATTTCAAAGTGTAACAACTTTTTATTGAAGAAAAACAGCAAATTTTCAAAAAACACTAGTTCAAAATGTTTGCCATTTCAATATATATGTGATCGATGTTATGAAATATTATAAATCCACTTTTATTATATGAATATGAATTTCTCGATAGTGGTTCAACTTAGCAAAAAAACAAGAGTACATCTTTTTTCCCCAATAATCTAGAGATCTAAGTTTACAAAAAATATTATAAAATGAAATAAAAATTAAAAGTGGGGAATGAAAATTGATGCTCCGAGGTTAAAATACGAATAAAATATCTTGATCTTGATATCTTGAGACCAATTTTTCTCATTTCTTTAAAAAATAATAATGATATTGTTATGAAACGACTTTGAGGTTAGAATATTATTATTAGCAAACGATCATCGTCAATAAATGTCCAGATTATTGATCAATTGATTATGTCAAGACAATAATTGAAAAATGCTAGTATTAGTACCTTAGAAATGATTTAATTTCTTGTTCATTTCAGTAACTCAGATTCAATGAATGACTAACAGTAGTTACAGTGACAGTGAACTAAAACTGTCAAACTCAAAAATTTTAGGTTAATTAGTTCAAATGTCTCACAATTATGCTATGACAAATATACACCGTTTGTTTTTGTTAGTTTAAAATCGTAGACTGAACTATGGAATAAGTGGAATAACATTTTTATAGATTGTCATTAGAATTTGAGATCATTATTTAGCGATGTCGCCTGCTAACAAGAAATTACAGAGTAAGTCTGTAATTATCTATTTTTGGAAAAAATGTATGTACAAAGATACTCTTTTTTTGATGCGTTAACTGTTCTGAAGATATTGAAAGACATTCCATGATCACCCTGTATTTAAATACAATTCTTGAATCTTCATTTCATAATATAAAAATTGGAATTTCTAAATGTTTAAATTTCCCTACATTAATAATACATTTTTTTAAATTTAATTTAATTAAATTTAATTAATAATTGCGTTAATACACACAATTTTTAGAAATACTCATTCCTTGAATAATCACGCCACAGTAAGTCTCACACTTTTAAAAAAAGACAACGCCAAATGTTTTACATAAACTTGCTACTAGCCTAATGCAAATACTTAAAAAAAAAACGTGCACGGCAACTACTTATAATAAATCGCTAAAATGATAACCAAGCATGACTACATGCTTACTTACTGTGTATGCAATGAGAAATACAAGAAAAACAGTTTAAGAGAACATCGGCGGACCAATCAGGCCCCCGCCCTCTCAATATCCTACCTTGTATAATGAACTGTTGTAATATGGGTGGTTGGGGTCGTCTGGCGGGTCTATGGGTGTGCCTGAGTCACCTGAGCTAGTCGAACTAACGCTGTCTCGTCTGCCCAGCTATAAGCCATGCGTGTTAGAAGAAACGTTATTTATGGAAGCTTAAGTATTATTTAACGGTAAAACATCAAAGTTGAAGTGTTTATAGAAAAATGCACATCTTGGAAACACGAATCCCTTAGAGAGCCTACAAAATGCACTGCGGTGCAGATGAATGCAAAACGCCCAAGATATTATGATAAATGATTTTTTATGTGCTGTTACCGACTCTAATGAAGATAAATATGAATTTTTATGCAAAAATATAAATTGTCCGTAATTTTTTTCATGATTGGGTCACATACAGGGTGTAACTTTAGGTGGGGTCAAGTTATAAATCAATTTTTAAATTCTTGTCTACGCCGTCACTGAACAGCTCTCAAACTTAATTATATATACCTGCTTCTCGGAGACAACTATGTTACTTTTTTAAACTAACCATGACATCAACAGAATGTCATAAAGCAAAAAAAGTATAAAAAAATTGAGTTTCACAACAAAATTTGAGAAAACAAGCTTGTTTCTGAAGGTCAAAGCGAGTCTCCATATAAATGTGACCCCCCTTCAAAGTTTACACCCTTATTTCGAAAAAAGGGAATTTTATTTCTTTTTTAGTGGTTTTTGTTAATTTTACTGAAATCTCAAAAATTGGCAAAGAAAATTTAAAAAATGATTTGAATCCCGTAATATCTTAATGCCACTATGACGGATGACAACTACACAACTATTACTTTTTGGCAATAACACTTAAACGAAAAGTACATTTTATACTGTGAAAAAACAAATAAAGTTTACTCTAGTTGTCCCTCGTGGCTCTATTTAGTATCGTATACCGAATACTTGTTCTCGTTTTACCCATTTCTGTAATTACGAACAGCAACCTTCAATTATCAACTTTGTGCAATCGTCATGATATCAAACCGTGGTTAACTCACACAGCGATGCGGCTATGATGTGTTAATTCACGTCAAACGTCACGAGAAATCGAAATAAAAATGATCATTAACCTGGTCACCGCTAACAACGGTGCTGGTGGTTTTAACTTCCTGCGTCACAGTGCGCTGCTCTTGCCTGGTGGCGCTCGACGTCATAGAGTGAGCGACAGTCTTTTCCTCCAGCTGTTGGGTACGTGCGTTAGTGCCCAAGTCCTCGTGGGTGGTGGCGGTACGTGTGGTAACGGCCCGAGCAGTGACAAAAGGCGATTTGCCATCGTCGGTTGGTGCATCGGCCTTGGGTATGTAAAAAAATTTGAAGGAAATAAACAAAAAAAGGTAAATTAAAAGTAACGAGGCAACTTAAGTAAAACGAAAGGTGGGAGAAATCGGGATAAATTAAAAAAATTAAGAGTTTATGCTTGGGGTGAAATAACAGGGGCGGGTTTAACTGTCAGGTGCATTGTGACGGTTTTATGAATCGGTTATTTTAACATTTCATTATGCATACAAGGAGTTTTCGGAAACTGGGATCTAAAATCAAATGCACTTTTGCATTTTGAGCTTCATGGAAACGAAAGAATCTGATTTCTGACGACTGCTTTTGAATACATACCACAAGCAATCAAAGCTCAAACATAAAATTTATTAGTTTATTAAAATATTTTAATAATAAACCAGTAAATTTTCCCAAAAACTCCTGTAGTATAATGAATTTCTTGAATATTAAGCATTAATATGAATTTTTGAAAAAGTATGTCTAAAAATGTAGCTAAACTTTCTAGATTTGATTTTAATTTTGATCATAATGAAATGATTCCTTACTGTAAAGTAATTTGCAATTAATTTTACCCAAATATGGTACTAAATATATCAAAACAACAAACAGTACATGAAAATAAATAATTCACATTTGACTATTTGTACACAATGTTTGTTGCTGCATAATACTATTGATTGTTTAAATATTTTTTATTCGTATTTCATATTATTTTTATGACTAAGCACCGTATGTATTCATAACAATTACATGGTATGATTAAGTGCAAGGGAGAAAATAATGGAAACAATTAAACATACAACATCTATTGCACATAGCTGTAAAGAAAAAATGCCATCACATAAAAATCCCTAATGACGACGTCGTCACATAAAAATCCCTATTGATTCGACGACGCCCTCACAGATATGAAAAAATGAAAATTAAAAAACATATAGAGTAAATGCATATATTGTTTTTTTAATTTTTTAGACGTTTAGGCCAATAAAAATATATTTTTTAAGTTCTGAAAGTTGTTTAAGATATTTTTTCATACTTGCGAGAATTTTATAGAAAAATATAAATATACATTAATTTCAACGATTTTCTTGTTAATATTTTTTAACACACTACTACACTAATGCAAAAAATTAAAGGGTCAAAAGAATTTCCGAAATTTTTCCGTGATTTTTGACACAGAAAATTTTAAAAACCAGGAAAAAAAAGGGTAATTTATGTTTTTTTTAGAAAATTGACGGCTAAATTAGAAATATTCGATGTACCCAGAAGAACCCTGTGTAGTTTCATCTTGATCTAGCGAACCGTTTCTTTGTTTCAAACAATCAAACTTTTGAAAAAAATTAAAGGGTTACGTTTTTTGAGCTTAAACACTTCATAATCATGATTAAAATGGAAAAAAAATTTTTTTTTGATGTCACATTTTTACCGCAAGTAACATTTAAATTGATGAGAAATTTTTTTTCAGAGAAGAAAAGGGTAGTTTTGAAAAAAACTGTTTTTTTAAGTGATTACAGACTGCACAAAAATTAATTAGAAAGTCTCAAAAAATGGTATGAATCGGGATCGAAATCTGGTTTGGGTCAACTTAATTTTAATTTAATTAAAAGTTGATAAACAGAAACATAGGACGGAAGAGCCGAATCATGCTGGAAGCAATTGGATTTTGTTTTCTTCAATGTCCGGAAGGCATTCCAAAGCAGCAAAAAAAAATTTCAAAAATTTAGAAAATTTATATTATATTTTTTTCATCAATTTAAACGTTATTTGCGGTAAAAATTTGAGAAAACCTCAAAAAAAAAATTTTTCCCATTTTAATCATTATTATGAAGTCATGCTTAACATTATTAGTCATTTCGTGAATCTTTCTAATTTAGCCATCAATTTTCTAAAAAACCATAACCTTTTTTTCTATTTTTTAAAATTCGTGTAAAAAATTTGCAAAATTTTTTGGTCGTGCTATTAGAATTGCATGATAATTGTAACTCCTAAAAAATTTCCACCGAAAGGTCTAAAAACTAGAATCTTAGAGCATCAAAATGCTTTTTTTAATTGCTGATATGATTATTTTTCACCTAAATACAGTCAAAAATCACGGAAAAATTTTGGAAATTGTTTTGACCGTTTAATTTTTTGCATGTTATTTGCAACAATTTAAAACCTTCTCTTCTCTTTTGTCTGTTGAAAACATTACTATTTTAGAGTCCTTATCGAAGAACAAATCTATAACTAAAAAAAAACTCAAAATCAGATTAACAGTTCACAAGAAAATCAATTTTGAGAACGGGATTCACTTTCATGGTACATTAATTTCGAAGTGAGTTGTATTTGTTAAACGATTTTTTTCACCTTATTTTTTCCAAAGTTTTCTAAAACATTCTGACTTATCGCAAATATCTCCATTCTATTTCTATTATCACATAATAATCTTAAACTGTTCAAATCTAATGTGTAATAATTTTGTCTAACTCATAATAGAAATTTATACAGCTGTCTATTATACAGAATTGAAGGCGTAGATATTATCATTTGGAAGAAGTGGTAACGTCAGTCTTTATTTCTGATATAATACAAAAACTTTAAATTTGTTTTAACTTACCTTATTAACATGTGTAGAATAGGTAACTTGTCCTGTGCGACCATCCTCTACTCTTTCCTCGATGTTCTGCACGACGCCGTCCTTATCTTTCGTAACAACCTGCTTGGTGGTCGTTTTCACAATGACAGGAGTACTGACACCGCCTTTATTGCCCTTGCCCATCTTCAAATTGGTCAGGTCTTGCAAATTGTCAGAAGCGTACTCATTCAAATCGTCGTCGCTGGAATCACCGGACGAATCGCCTTTCATGTAAGTCTTAACTTTTACTTTAGTGTCTTTCAGATCGGTGAAGTGGCTGGGATCAATTTGGGCGTAATTCAAAATAAGTTCGCCTGTAACGGGGTCTCTCTTGGCAGTTGCAGGGTCGATATCTCCGGTTTGTGGGTCGATGTGGCCCCATTCCGTGTGGATTTTACCAGTAACAGGATCGATTTCACCTGATAAAGTTAACACTTGTGTCACTTTCGTACTTGCACTCTTCACAAGCGGATCGTTTGGATCAACTTGGACAATTTTGCCCGTTTTTGGATCGACCATACTATAAATGTACACCGTTTGAGTCGTTACGTTAATAATTCTTCCCGTCTTTTCATCAAACTGACAGTCTTTAGGATCGATTTCCTTCACCTTGCCGGTTGGGTCGTTCTGGGTGATCAGGTAGATGCGAACTATAACTAATTTACCAGTCTTAGGATCGATCTTGCCATATTTCGTGTATATTTGTCCAGTTTTGGGGTCGATTTCGGAAGCAGAATAAAGGGCTGCCCCGGTTTCATCAACTTGTGCCGTTTTCGTGAACACTTGGTTTGTTTCTGGGTCGACTTTAGCATTGCTCGGGTCAACTTTAACAACCTTGGCAATCGTACCTGTTTTTGGATCTATGTATCCGTAAACTGTTATAATGTAGCCTGTCACTGGATCGATGTGACCAGTTGAATAAACGTCTTCTTTCGTAACTGGGTCGTGATGGTCGAATACCCACACCTGATTAGTTTTGGGGTCAATTTTAACAGACTTGTTGTCTCTTTTAACAATTTCTCCATTACTGTCCACTTGTGGGTCGCTGATAAGGATCGATATGATCCTAGCGAAGCTGGGATCTGGCTTGCCGGTCTTCGGGTTGATATAACCTCCTTTGAACAAGATCTGACCCGTTGTTGGATCGACGACTCCTTGTTTACTCTCAGTGCGCCCTGTTTTGGGATCCGTGTAAGTCAATGTACCCTTTAATGGATCTATTTGACCATATTTGGTATCTATTTTGTGTGTGGAAGGGTTGTACAAACCATTCGAGACCTCAGGAACAACATGTTTGCTATCAATGGTGTTCTTTTTAGGGTCGAATTTGCCGACGAAAGTGATAATTTGTACCTCGGGTTCAACCTCCGCACCTACTTTGATTACTTGACATAGGTCGGGATTTACAGTGTCAGTTTTAGGATCTTTCACGCCAGTTGTTATAATAATGTTACCCTCCGCGTCCAGTTGAATTGGTCTTGTTTCTAATTTTCCTGTCTTTGGATCTTTAGTCGTGATCTGCAGTAACTTTATATCAACCGTACCGTATTTAGTTTCTATCTCGCCGGTAGCAGAAATCTTTTTGGCTTTGGAGTGCTCCATCTGCCCGTTATTTAAATCAATAGTTCCAGTTCTAGGATCTTTCTTTGCGGTTATAGTGGTTATTTCCAAGACGGGATCATTTTGACCCGCAATGCTGATAATCTGACCCAGAGAACTGTCGACTTTTCCAGTTTTGGGATCCGTCACTCCGCTAGCTACCAGAATCTGGCCGTTCGTTTCATTCACCTGAGCGGATTTAGCGTCCACCTTCCCGGTTTTTGGATCGTTTATGATAAGCTTGCCATTCTTTGGATCTATTAGACCATATTTGGATTCGATCAGACCTGTCTCTGGGTTCAACAATGCCGTGGACTGTTCGATTTGTCCTTTCTCTGAATCGATCTTGCCGGTCTTTGGATCGATTTTGGTGGTGATGACCGTAATTTTGATTATACGTTTTTTAGGTGTTGGAGCTGCGTTAGGATCTTGGGCTTGTTTCAGTCCGACGATAGAGTAGACTTGACCAAGGGTCGGATCTGGCTTGCCAGTCTTAGGATCGATAACTGGACCACCGTTGACAACAACATGACCAGTTACTGGATCTACTTTTCCTTGGATGATCTCGCTTTTACCAGTTGAAGTATCTCGAGCTATCAGCGAACCCGTAGTAGGATCCAACTGTCCGTACTTAGTCTCAATAAGACCGTTCTTCGGATCAACGATACCCGTTAGATGTTCAATGTGACCATTCTCGATATCGATGCTACCAGTCTTGGGATCCTTTTTAGATGTTATAACCATGATTTTAACTATTCTATGCTTGGCTATCGGATGAAGAACACCAGTGACGATTTCTTTAACAGGTGTGGCTGGAGCAGCAGTTCTTATAGGGGTAGCGGTAGTAGTTCTTTCTTGAGTAGCCTTTGCTGGAGGCGATACCGCCGATGCTGGTGCAACTTTCAATAAATCGCTCTCGGATGGTTGTTGAGAGGCCAACGGATCAACCACAGGTTCTGTAATATGCACAGAAACGGCACGTCCCATATCCTTTTCCACTTTTCCAGATTTGGGATTAACAAAACCACCTTTAAACACTAGTTCACCAGTGTTGGGCTCAATGTGGCCTGGTCTAACATCGGGTTTGCCCGTTTTGGGGTCAATTATGGTAAGAGTTTCCTCGACTGGATCTAAATGGCCATATTTAGTATAGATCTTGTTCTTGTCTGGGTCGTACAAGCCAGGAGTTGTGTCTGGAACTGCGTTCTTGGAATCAATAGTGTTCTTTTTGGAGTCGACTTTTCCTACGTAAGTTCTGACTTGGATTTCAGGGTCCACTTCAGGTCCAACCTGTATCACCTGAACTAGATTAGGATTAACGTTACCAGTCTTAGGATCAACAACTCCAGACGAAATAATAATGTTGTCGTCTTTGTCGACTTGAACGGGCCGTTCATGTACAATGTTCGTTTTGGGATCACGGGTTAAGATTCTCATGAGTTTCAAATTGATAGTCCCGTGTTTAGTGACAATTTCGCCAGTTTCTGGAACAATCTTTCCGTTTGAAGCTTCGACCCTGCCATGAGCCAAATCAACAGCGCCAGTACTGGGGTCTCTACTGGCTGTAATTGTCGTAATGATCACTGCCGGATGTTGAGGATCAACTACATTGATCACTTGGGATAGATTAGGATCAACTTTACCGCTCTTGTTGTCTATTATATTATCGTTTATGTATATTTGTCCAGTGTTTTCATCTACCTCGATAGGAGTAATGATTGGCTTTCCAGACTTGTCTTTCTGGACAACTTTGTTGTTCTGGGGATCGATCTTGCCATATTTCGACTCAATTATACCGCTAACCGGATCAACGGTTGCAGTAAGTTTCTCCACAGCACCTTTCTCTGTGTCTATTCTGCCAGTAGCTGGATCTTTCTTGCTGGTTATAACCAATATCTTAATAACCCTCTTTTTAGGGATAGGATGTGATGGAAGGGCATGTTTAATAGGTTTAGCGTTCTCCTTTGGCTCGTACGAGGAAATTGTTATTACTTGACCCAGATTGGCATCTTTCTTGCCTGTTCTAGGATCAATCACCGGCCCATTAACTATCTGAATTTGACCTGAAACCGGATCGATTCGTCCTTGCACCGTCTCTTGCTTACCGGTAGATGGATCGGTGATAGTAATCGTACCTTTCTTTGGGTCTATCAAGCCGTACTTGGAATCTATTTCTCCTGACGGATGTAAAATACCAGCAGACTGATCTACGTGACCATTTTCTAGGTCCAACTGATTCGATTTCGGATCTCTCTTAGCAGTGACCACTAATAATTTAATAACCTTGTTTTTGTCTCGAGGTTTGGCAGCTACTGCGACGGGTGCTGTTACTGGAGACACTGGAATGGCCTTCTTAGGTTCTTTGACGGGAGTAGAAATGGCGCTTAGAGCAGGATCAGCTTTTGGCTCCAAAATCTCGATTTTGAGGGTTCTTCCAAAGTTGTTGTCAACTTTACCAGTTTTGGGGTTTATAAGCCCTTTGAACAAGACTTCTCCTGTTGCTGGGTCTCGATGTCCTTGTTTAAATTCTGTTTTACCAGTTTTGGAGTCGAAGAAGCTAAGAGTCTCGTTTACTGGGTCAAATACGCCATACTTAGTGTAAACTTTTTTGGTGTCCGGATCGAAAAGACCCGTAGATTTTTCTGGGGCGGAACAATTCTTGTGATCCAATCCTTTCTTGTCTACCTTGCCGGATACTGAAGTCACAACTACTTCTGGATCTATCTCGGAATCAATTTGAAGGATTTGACTTAAATTGTTGTCTCTGACGCCAGTTCTTGGATCGACAACACCAGACAATACTATAATATTCTCATTGGAATCAAATTGGATGGGGTGATCTTCCACTTTGCCTGTTCTTGGATCCCGAGATGAAATTTTCTTATTTTTAACATTAACATTGCCGTATTTACTAAGGATTAATCCATTAGCGGGGTCTATTTTACCATTTGTCGTTTCTTTATGTGCTTGTGAAGGATCCAACTGCCCTGTTTTGGGATCTCGCTTTGCCGTTACGGCAGTAACAGGAACTATAGAGTCTCCCTTTTCTGCAATCTTAATGAGCTGACCCAAGCTGTTGTCAACTTTATTGGACTTGGGATCCACCACGCCTTGTTTGACGACGATGTGACCCAAGTTATTATCTATTTCAACGGGATAAACGTCGGTTTTTCCCGATTTGGGGTCTTTGGTTGTAATCTTGCTATTGAAAGTATCGATAACCCCATATTTACATTCAATTTGTCCAGAGACCGGATCCAAAATGGCTTCGATGGTTTCCGTGGTGCCTTTTTCTGCTTCGATCCTACCGGTCTTTGGATCTTTTTTGGCCGTCGTAACGGTGATTTTGATGAGGCGTTTTTTTGGTATAGGCGTCAATTTACTAGTAGCTTTGGGTTGTAGTTCCGAAATAGATATGATTTGTCCCAGAGACGAATTCTTTTTGCCAGTTTTGGGGTCGATAACGGAACCCGAAGTAATAATGATTTGTTTAGTTACAGGGTCGATATAACCCTGTACTACTTCTTTCTGACCATTTGTTGGATCGGTTATGATAACGGTTCCATTAGAAGGATCGATGAGGCCATATTTGCAATCAATTAATCCGGTTTCGGTGTTCTGTTGGCCTACGATTTGGTCCACAGTGGCGGAGTCTAAATCTATCTGAGTCGTCTTAGGATCCCTGTTACCGGTAACCACTATCAGTTTAACAGGCCTCTTCTTCACGATAGCTCCGGGTACGGCACCGGCAATGCCTGCACCCAACGCAGAACTGGCCTTGTGAGGAGGTTCTCGCGAATACTGCTCACCAGCCAGAAACGCGGCAGTGTCAACTTTAGGATCTTTAAACGCCGATTTATTCAGCTTGTCTACATCGCCCGGAGCGTAATTGAAAGCAGTCGCTGTGGCTCTCTTAGTTGAGGGCGATTGTTGGTTTTCAGGGCCACTTTTCGGGCTGGAAGGCGAGGGAGGACTTTCGTAGCTGAACCCTTGAGTGTAGGGTTTGCGCGGGGTCACTTCGTTTTCAGGCGCTTCGAACTCGTACTCCTTGGTGTAAGGCGAACCCTTTTCTTTATCGGCTGCGGCTGCGATCTTTTCTTTCTCTTTTTTGTCTTTCGGCGATTTGTCCTTTTTAAGACCAAATAGGGAAGGACTCTAATATGCAAAAGCAAAACATGCACATTAATACATGCAGTATGTATACTTCTAGCCTAAATACCAAAATAGGTTGTAAAACCAAAAAAAAAAACAAAAATCTAACAAAATTTAAGTATTCGAGATATTTTTTTTTGGTTTTAAACCCCTATACAGCTCCAAAATAAATGACTAACAATGCAATATTTGCTAACGTGTTACAAATACAAAAGCTACACTACTTAATTTTTTTTACAAAATATGGAATTTCACCTCTAAATAAATAAAAATTAATTTCAAACATAACCGGGCTTTACCTTCGATTTCTCCTTCTTATCCTTTGGAGATTTGTCATTTTCATTTGTCGGAATCACTTGGGGTTCGGTATCGATACCGTTTTGTTCGGGAGTGTTAGCGTCGCGGTTCTCCTTATCTTTCTCCCCCTTCTTATCTTTGTTTTTGAACAAACCACCAGAGGGTAGTACGGGTACCCCGCCGACTGGTTTCTATCGAAGAAGGCAAACAATTAACTTTGGCATACCGGCAGTTGTAATTAGAGAATAAGATAATGATAAGCGGCAAAAGGCTATTACTGAAGCTTGAAAAAACTAAAGAAGCGATTTACATCGATCCAAAATGTAAATAGTGTTATTCTCTATGTCTACCTCTTTAAAATCCTGGCTATTCTCGTTACAACTAGGTAATTATTTTTAACCTGCTTAGATGGATGGTCATCTCAAAATGTTTTTTTTTCTATCTTTGTTATGAAGAATTCGATTTTTCGGCCAATATTCGCAAGTGTTTTCTAAGAGTATGCCATTTCAAAAGACTGAATCATTATAAAGTTATAAAAAAAAGTTTAAAACCCTTGGTTTTTGAGATACAGTGTTGAAATTAAAAAAAAAAATATGATATTAAGGTGTTTGATGAGGATTCATAAAATTTTGGCTAATAATACGTCTCAATAAAGATAAAAAAAATCACTGAACTTGTATACGAATCTACACTACTGAGCATTTCGAAAATTGGATAAGTGCTATTAACTCTTAACATTAATTCAAAGAAAAAAGACTGAAAAATGAAACATTTCAATTTTTATTTAAAATAAGCACAGTTGGATGTCTAAAATAAATCCACAAGCAAAAAAATCATTGACGAAGAAATATTTTACTGTTTTTAATTATATTTCACAAAAAAATGTAGGGCATACTTTTTTTAAACTCTTAAACACTATATTTCAAAAATCACTAGTTTTAAACAGGTTTAAAATTTCTAGGAAAATCAAAAATCGAAAAAAAAACAGTAATAAGTATGTATTTGAATTTCCTCCAATTTTCCAATTTTCTTCCTAATCTTTTACTTTGCAGAAAAAATAGAGCATTTTCTAAATTTTCCTATAGAATTTTCCAAAGAACACACTGTAAAAGTTATGACAAAGACTTAAAAACCACCCACTAAAAAAGAGAATATATTTGAAAAGAAAAAGTTTCTTTTTGTGTAGAATTAACAATTTCTCCTAAGATGACCATCTATCGCAGTGTTCCGCGATCTCACAGAAAAAAAACTAAAATATTATGCCGACATCAAAGTTATAAACAAAACAAAATCAAAGTTATAAAACCCTGTTCAACAAAGCTAATAGATCTACTGGAAATGAATAAATACAGCAGACCAAGAGACAAGACGGCAGCAAAAACAGATCTGTAAAACAATGGAAAAATTGTAGAGACCTTCTGATTCTTTTCGGCTTCGTACTCCCCCTCCACTGAACTGGCCGAGCTTCCAGACATAACGGATCCAGAACTGCGTTTCCTCGCAAGCTATTCAATTTAATTCGTTAATTTTCATTTCAAATGGGTTACGTAATCGGGTAATTTTTTTAAGTGCAAACGTTTCTAGGGCGGATCCGCGAAATAATAAAGTATCGTACTTAATTAAATCAACACTGAAATAACGTTACACAAACAGGTACAAAAGCACACACCTCTTCCTCTGGGACCTGCTGTTATTATAATGATTAGGTGATGTGTTCGTGTATCTGATAATGGGTTCAATGAAAAACGAACAGGAGAAAATTTACATAATTAATTATTTTCACCACAAAATAATATCCACGTGTAGGTGAGGTGTAACCTACAAAGTATATGTCATATAAATGTCATTGCTACTCGAGGCCTACCGGCACACGCATTGTTTTGTACCTACTAGCAACAAATGAACTACTAATCTGTAGGTGCGATGACAGCTCTTTGCCAGTAGGCGCAAAGCAATGGTTAATGACAGTAGACAATGAGTAGCAAGGACATTTAAGATATGACATATACTTTGTAGGTTATACCTCACCTACACTCAAACAGTGTCAGTAGATAAACATCCAGATAGATATTTCCCACAATATTATTAGTTAAAAAATAATTTACTTCATTTTTTCGAGAAGTATATTCGAAACCGTTTAATATCTTTTTTCCTTTAATGTTAAATATAAAAGCTGTTCGGAGATTTTCAAGTTTTAATAAATTTCTGTGAAACTTTCTCAAATAAGTAGACGTTAGTTAAAACTCGTTATTGAATCATTAAGATATTAAAAAATTCCAAATAAATCAATTTTTGAATAAAAAGATAAACTGCAGAATATTTTTGAAGAAAAATATGTCATTATATCTGAAGCGGTCGAAATGACTTACCTTTTCCTTGTCCTTCTTCTCTTTCGGAGACTTGACCTTGGCAGGAGCCTGATTGTCGATATCGGGAATATGCTCGGGTGGATGCGGCATCGTATGTCGTTTGTTTCCTTCGTTATATTCGTCTTCGGGTCTTATTCCTCCAAGAGCTGCACAAAACAAATCGCTACAGTTATCGCAACGTTTTACTGGTCGTTTCTAACTTACGATCCATGCTGCGCGAAGCTAGACGTTTTCCAGTCAACGATCTTTCGAATTGTGGCGCTGGGCGTTCGATAGGAGTTTTCTTCGTTTCGTAATGCGTTCGTCCGGAATATCTGAACTTGGAACCCAGTTTGGGGAATAGAGAGGACTTCTGATTGATTTCTGGCGACATCAATCTGTCACAAACAAAACAATTTACGTTTTCTTTCAAACGAATTTGGATATTACGTTTTAAGTACCTGAAAAACGTGTGATGTTCCACGCAGGTCTTCCAGAGTTTCTTAGCTGCCCTGTGATTAGCCAATTTGAAGCCGATCGTCGATTCGAACTGTTCGAACTCTCCCGGACGTATTTTGATGTAGAAATTATGCCTTTTATAACTAATTTTCAGAATTTTCGGCCAGGCAAATCTGTTTATTCTCAATCGATCTCTATACACCAAAAGGCCCGAAGCGCAGACACCTACAATCGGTCATTTACTACTCGCACGTTAAGCTTAAGTACAATAATATTTACCTAGCATTATATCGACGCCTTCCGAATCTTTCGCGGGATGTAAATCAACCCCATACATAGCCAGCTTCTTGGCATTCTCTAAATAATTAAGTTCAGCTTCTGCTGGAGTCTGACCCCTAAAAATGTCATTCATTTAATAAACGAATTAAATCGTATTTTCATAAGACTTACTTGTGGGTACGGTGGAGCTCTAAGACCTTGTCCTCTAAATCCTGACTTTGATTTGGTGCGAATTTGAAATCCTTGAGATAGTAACGCCCCATCGTGTCAGGATCGTAGTCTCCTAGTTCAGACTGAACAAGGTAGGAGCCTAGTAGGGCGTGAGTAACAAAGGAACAAGGCAGGCGGTTAGATAAGATATCGTTACGGATCTGGAGGCATAGCTGGTAGCGGGTTATGTCCTCTTGTAGCTGCGCTGGATCGGGAGGATAGAATTTTACTTCAAAGCTAAATCTCCAAGGATCCACTAAAAAGTACGAATAATAACATTAATAACTATAAATTTTAAATAGAGAGCTGTGACAAAAGAGAAATGCCACATGGATCCTACCCGAGGCCATTCCATCTTACCTTTCATGAACTTGCTTATTCTTTTGTCCAGATCCAACCAATTTCTTGGATCATGCCTATCGGAGTACACTAATCCGAAGTAATCTTTCTCGATCAAGTTAATAGCATCACATACTTTGTCCAATAGTTCTTTCCCTTTGGCTTTTCTCTGAAAATAAAAAACAGGTAAGGGTATTTTTCGCTGATTGTCAACTGAATTAATCTCACTTCAATGCTGATGTCCAAAACGGTACCATCTAACATAGTAACTTGAGCCAATGCATTTCCACTACTACGGACGCTAGTAGTAGACTTATTTTTTTGGGGCAATTCACTGTCTACTGCCATGTTTTTGTCCTCAGGCATACTTGCCTACAAAACTGGAAGTAAATGAATATTATATTAATTTATTTAAAGCACCATTAGATTTATGAGCAGAAATTAAAGAAACCAAAAGCATATTGTGACGTCATAACTTTCAACTCAACAACGTCGCTTGAATGCTGAATGTTGAAAGGTAAACAAAAGTTCTAACCTCACATTTAACGACGCGTCGTTTTGCCAAAAAGGAATTATAGCAAAGGTAAGCAGCTATTACAGTGTTTTATTTACCTCAGTTATTCTAAATGCTCATTTGTCAATTGGACATTGGACGAGATTAGCTGAGGTCTCTGGCAAACAAGACACGGTTACTTTCTACCAAGTTAATAGGTGGCAAATTTCAATTCTTTAGGCGTAAATTATAAAATTCTTATAAATAAGGAACATATAATTTTTGATTTCTTACTACGAAAACAGAAAGTAGAACGATTGTTGAACATTTTTTATTTAATCACGGAGTATTCTAAATAAACATATCAGAAGTCTAGCGCCTGTCGGCTATTGCGTGTATTTTTAGCCTTAGCATGCAACATGGCATGTTCACGTTCGTTTTTTGCGGTTTACAAGAAGAGTTTCGTTTCGCAAACTATTTTTCACAATGTTACTTTATGATGATTTTTAAAGTGTAGCTACGGGTTGCACGAAAATCGATAAGGACACGGGTTAACGGCGCCAGAAAATAAATACGCCGAACAACTTCGACTATAGTATCCGGTAAATTTAAAACATTGCTTTTTTCAGTAGTACCTATCTTGCTCTTTTTTTTAACAAAGTAATTATTTCTCCAGAGAACAACTACTTTTTAGGTACCTCACAGTTGATTTAGTGTTTCTATTGCATATTATAATTTGTTTTGATATTAATTGTTGCAAGTAAAACATATAACTTGTCTTACAATTAATAAGGTATTCTTATAAACATGAAATAACCATGTAGGTCACTTATCACATGACTCGGACGCCGAAGGACATATTTATTATCTAAACTAAATACATGTATATTGTTTAAGGAGAATATGAACATTTTTAAATAATAAATAGCTATAAATGACTACTCGTTACGAGTTCATAATATAGGTATAAGCAAAATGACACACTTTTGTACGATAGTGTAGCAATATCGACAATTCCTTGCAAATGTGACCTAATTAGAAGATCCGTAGCACTCAACGTAGCAAATTTAATGCATTTTAGACATTTATTATAGCGCGGCCTTCTAGTCTTGCATAAAATTATAAAGTGAGGCTCCCCTCATATTTAACGCAACTTTTCATGTTTGCGAACAATCACTTTTTTAAATTATACCTACACAGTCACCTGTAGTGTAGATAGTCGTAAAAAGTGCGAAGCAAACATAAAAAAGCATCTTGTTTGTATTATACTTGGGGAACGAGCCATAATGTAACCTGATCTTGATGGATATGGTGTTAACCGAGCTAGTGTTTTCATATGTCGTAAGTTTTTTCGGCACTGAAGAGCTTTTTTATGGCTGTTTCAGATTTCCTATTAATATATTTTTAGATTTGGAATGTTTATTGTTTTTGATTTCACTTCATGAAGTATATTTTATATAAAACGCCTTCCAACTTTCCAAAACAACCCTTAGACAATCTCTTACTGACCTCTCTTTTAAGCCTAGTCCAGTTCTTCAAACTTTTTCCCGGAAACATATACAAATATGTGTAAAAACGATATACAAGCTGTTTACAAACATTTGCCAAACAACATTTATACAACTGTTACAACAACTGCATCTGTGTTTTTTGTTTTCCATCGATGATGGAAAACTTAAATTGTAAAAATAATGTTCGCTGACAATTCTAAATTTTATGGACCGATCTTTTCTACTAATGTTTCGAAATAACTGAATGAAATATTATTCTCAAAAAATGTTCAAGATGTAATTTTCCATCTTGAAAAATGTCATTTGTTTTATATATCCTTCTTAAATTCAAAAATAAGTATCTGCTTCACTTTAGAAATAGTGAAAACAAAATGTTCAGGGGCAATCAAAAAACATTTAATTGACGTTTGATTTTATTTACAGGTATTTTTTTTTTGTTTTTTAATCAGGCTTTTGTTTAAGACCATTTGTATGTGAAAATTGTTTGTAATAACTAACAAACAAACACGTCGTAGTTGAAGAAGGATCTTATAATGGAAATCGTAATTGATAACAATTCATGTTTGATTAATTCTCATTAAAAACCGGCAAATTAACACTAGTCAGCGTAATTATGTTACGTTTTATCTTCAAGTGACTGTTACGTATTACCAGTGGAATTAAAATACCTGAAACTGATGTAGAGATAAAATTCAGTTCCATTTAAAAAAAAACAAAACTGATTTACATTTCGAAAATGTAACATTCGAATTTGTTCGAGATTATAGGAAAATTCCCTGAAATTTCGATCTTTTTTATTTTTTACTAGAAAAAAAGACAAACAAGATGAATTAAAGTGTAGCATTTTTTTTTTCATTTATAACATTAACGTTCTATTGTTTTCATACAAATTTCAGATCAATCAAAATAATTATCCGTGTAAGTAGCTACGAGGTAGCCAACAAATATTAACCGTGTTTAGTAGAATTAACGATCCATGAAATTTCATCAAACAAAAACATTTTTATAAGTATATCTTCCATAACAAGCTAATAAATGTACCGAACAGTGATGTAATAGGTTATAATTACATTACTAGGAATTTTTTATCTCTTTCCATGAATAAACCACTCCGATCCTTGAACAATCGGCATTTAATCATTCCTCAGTATAGTAAGACGAAAACCATCATGTAAACAAATTTAGAAATGATAAACTTTGCATGACTTACTTTTCTCCGAAACGTTAATAACTAATCGAGCGATCATGTCATTGACTTGGTCAACTTGGTGAATGCATCGATGGCATCATTCTCGCGATATACAGGGCGATAAAAAAATGTGTTCAAAACAGTTCTGGTTCATACTAACACTTGAAGCAAACAATAAATTCCATTTAATTTCAATAACTGTAAAAGTACTTTCCTATTAAAAATAACGCTCGCGCACGCCACTGAGCGTAAAAATGTCGTTTCGGTTTCAGTGGCTAAAGTGTGTCTCCCTCCGTTTTTTCGTCTGAAATCTGCTCGTCTGTAAATCCTGTAAAATCACTCCCCATATAAGAGCTTCGTTTCGCGTAAACAGAAGATCTGAATATTAATAATTCCATTCATTCGCCTACTCACATTTCGCTACAAAACCGCCCGTATGGACAAACGGATACCGCAGGATGTACGCCGCTGACCAAGATCGCACTCTGGTAACGTCATTTCCGCCCTGTGGGAGTGCCCCGACATAAAAACCGCGGCCTTAAAAGTCATCATCGTGTGTATTTCTGGTGAACGCGACACCAGAAATCCAGAAAATGTACGGCGCTATGGCATCAGACGTATTATCTACTGAATAACTTGTTGCCTATGTCTAGCAATCTCCTAAATGGATACTTAACGATTCTTCAATGTCTGGTTTTACGAGCCTAATGTTGATAACGATATTTAAAGAATTTATATAGGTGAATTAGTCATTTTTATGAAGCCACCTTTAACCTTTAACAATTAAAAGCAAACACTTTAAACCTAAAAAATGCATTTATTTGTTAGACTTAATACACACTTGTAGCCTTAGTAGTCCGTTCTAATCCGTCTTCAGGCGAATATTGCAAAGAACAATCGTATAATAGGGACGTTTCACATATAATTTTTTTTATTTATTTGAATTCAGCATGTTTCAAAATTAATATAACTTTTTTGTTTTTACTAATATTAACTGAGATATACAGCTTCAAAATATGAACATTTCCCGTCTTTCTATTATAAGGCGTTGTAACGTCAACTATGTCGCATGCGCATTACGCTTTAAATTTAAGTTGGTATAACAAATTAAGTTGGCTATTCTGACATTGTTGAAACAGTCACATTTTCTGTCATTTACCATTATGTTAAATTATCTATGACCGTTATTTACTATTGTTGTGCTGGTGACTGGTTGTGTTTTTGTTATTTTTGCTTATTATAATTTTAATTAACCTGGAGAGTATGAAAAATTACAATATACTTATCAGTTATCACTGCCACACTCGCTATATACTTAATAATAAATAACACAGATCTACTAGGTTTGTGATATTAACCTCAAATTATAAAGTCTCAAAACTGTCATGAATCATTATGTCAAATCGTTTTCTGTGTATTTTGTTTATGTCTCGATTGCGCATGTATACGAGTTGACGTCACAGCGATAGAGAATAATTTTAGATAGGACAGAAAATGTTTAAATTTTATTTTGATATTGTTCCTTTGTGATCCATTTTTATGAAAAGTAAGTTAATGAAACTAAATACATAAGCTTTTACTACTGAGAAATAATAGCAAATTCAATTTTTGGAATCTAAGGTAACGACCCTATTGCATTAATGTATAAAATGATGGTTCTTATGATATAAAAGGCTTATGGCCGTAAAGACTGACAACAATCAGAATCGGACTAATTTCCCTCAACGACAAAGGAAACAGAAATGTTCATCCTTTCGTTTTTAAATAAAATTTGAAAACGGAAACAGATTTATCCGATTTTTGAAACGATTTCAAAAAATATCAAATTTTATTCTGTTTGATTTATAAAATAAATAAATAAGAAAAAATGACAAGTTGCTAACATATTACAATTTTATTTAAATTATTTCACAGTTGCTATATTTTGCACATTAGCGAGCATTGCAAATAGTGACGTCATAAATAAAACTATTAACAATTCTTAAAACTACCTACCTACCTATTTAAAAATTTTTTCGAGAAAAACTCATTTACTGTTTTCAAAACTGCTTTAATCAGTTGCAAACGTGACGTCACTAATAAACCTCAAGAATGTGTCATTGCAACGCCATAAAAAGATCTAAGGGTAATATGCTCATTTCCTAGATTCTCCGGCAAAAATATCTTAAGTCAATCGTTACAAAACAGGTCTTTATACAGGGTATTCCACCTAAGAGGGATCCTTCTGAAACTCTGCAACTGTCAAATTTATAAAAAAAATTGTTTTAATAAAAGTTGCATGGAATCATGTTAGCCATATACCTAAAGAAAATATTTTTAACTTTACAGGGTGTTTCATTTCGCGTGGGCGCTACATAACTTTGTTATTTTAAATGGAACGCCCTGTATATTGCATTTTTGAATTCCTTAGGTAGAGTTTATTAAATGTACATTGTGTTTAAAACTTACAGGCAACTTTTATTAAAACCATTATTTTTATACATTTTACAGTTGCAGAGTTACAGAAGAATCCCTCTTAGGTGGAACACCCCTGTATACTGCTCAACAATAACATTCGCGTTATTGTAGGTACTATCCCTAACCTGCAATAAACAACGAAACTGCCGTTTTGGTAACCATGGCAACGAAGGAAACAAGCAAAGCAAGCGTCGTCTTTTAATCGTAGCGTAGGTAGTCCAGGTACCTTTGCTATTTCCAAAACCGTCGATTATGATTGAGCTTTAATGCATAAAACAGATACCATTTAACCATTTGCTCATTTCTTACTTAGATGGTTATGGATCCACCTGCATTGAAAATGTCGATCCGTTACGTGCGACAAATTCCTGTCATCGCATAAGGCAAGTTTGCCCCGAACGCGATTTATTTATATAACGTCATGCCAAGCATACAAAACAAACGACAAACACCAGGTTGAAAGGAACGCACAATACGTGCATGTCTAGGCAGACCTGATTGTTCACCATAATGATTCAAGTGTGTGGAACGAACACGAATTTTTTTATAATTATGAATTCAAACGTTCTAGCGTGTTAACAACCTGTCAATGAGCGACACATTCGCACATGTAATTGCAAATTAATTACTTCTAAACATATTGTATTAAACCTTTATTTGTGCGGCAATTCTCGCAAAAAAAAAACTGTTCAAAACCCCTTTAAAATATATATATTAGCATCTATCGCCCGTTGCTGCTTAAGCTGATACCTACATCAAATCGTGGTGTATTTTGTTCGCACTGACCTTTCGTATTAAATTTAAAATGGATAAACTAACAGCAGAAGGCCTCTTGACCTCATTTTTCTTGCAGTAACAGAAGCTGATGTATGTAAAAGTTCAGTAAACAAGAATCCGAGAGTGTGCTGTTGATTTTATATGGGAAAAAATAAGTGACACACGCTGCTGACTAAAAACCCGCGGCAGACATTTATTTATACGCGAAATAAAACCGCAAATCCGATAATCCGTCATATTTATTTATTTACAATATACAGCACGCGATACGACGTTGAATCATACTTAGTTTTAATGAATATATGCAATTTCGATTGTTGCAGTAAAAGCTCCATTATCTAACAGGCAAAGAATGCAAAATGCTTCTGTAAACTACTGAATAATGCACGTAATAAGCGGAATGACGTTTTTGTCGAGACGACAGCGCGATACAATGTCAATCTAATTTTAAACTTGTGAATCGCTGTTACAAATATTAAATATACGACACATAACAAAGCGACCTTACGACCTCATCTTGACAATAACAATTAATTTTTATTATCTTGCCGCGCACTAATTCGTGAGGTCAACGTCAACACGGGCACCTCACGAATTCGGATCGCTCCCGTTTCGCCGAAATGATACCCAGTTGAAATCGCAAATCTCGGACAGAAAGAACGTGACTTTGGTTTTAAATATCACACCGTTAATCAAAGCTGACAGATAATGTAACACGATTTTTCTAGAGCATAATCCTCTTGGCAAGAACAATGGATCTAAACATATTAAAAAGCAGCGGCGTGCGTGCCTGCAAATTTCCCCGAGTAATGGAGTGAATAAAGTAATTCCACAGGTGACTGGATTTAATGAATAATATTTTAATACTGGCGTCATCTAGCCGTGACATTAACATAAATTACATAAATTATAGCGTCTAATTTTTTCTCTCGGAAACGTAATCATAATTCGGTTGCATGGAAAGTAGGTACAAAGGCGATAAATGAAATGTATAATAAATCTCGGTTGATAGATTCTTATGCAAATTTCACTCAACAGTAAGTCCAACAAAAAGTTTCGATTAAGTTGACTTTCATAGGCAATTTACATTCACCATGAACAACCTTAACACCTAAACTATCTCGGCAAACAAAAAAACGTAGTCTTTAAAAACCGACGGAAAACAAAGTCGTCACAAAACAATGGTTCCAGAGGATGTAAGGTTCGTTACAAAGTCACTTGAGTTCAAAGTTGAAAATGTACCTAATAAAAGTGTTTAAAAACGTCGAATTTAAAGTCAGTCTTTGATCACTAAGATGGATCTGTTCAATCATCCTGTAGAGCTTTTGACAAAAAGATAAAGTGATGAGATAATTGAAGTTGTTTATTTTTTTAAACGGTTGCAATTTATTTACATATTATTAATCAAGAGATAACGTTTTTTATGTAACAGAGGATAGGATAGTATAAAATCCTAGAAGCAAAAAGTTACTTCTTATTTACAGCTTAAGAATGTTTCACAATTATTAAATACAATATTGGGATTTTTCCCATGAATAGTTTCACAATAATTGAGCAATACATATTCTTAAAATTTATATTGCAGATCTACATTATAGAATAAAATTTCAGTATTTGAATATGTAGTATTGTAGTAGTGTATGGACCTAATTGATTTGGGTTCCACAACTATCAAAAAAAAAAGATAATTTGTCTAGAAAATCGCATGATAATTATATAATTAAAAACATTCAATTATTTAATATTGAACCGCAACAAACAGAAGGCAAAGACTCAGATCACCAGAATGGCCCATAAATATTAGGATATTTCGAAAATCTATATTGTAAAATATTATTTATTTAACAAAGATAACGTTTTCGATAAATATAAGTATGTAAGTATTTATTTTTATAACAAAACCGTAGTGAAATTAAGAAAACACAAAAAAATTTAATTTAATGTAGTTTTCAGATCTATACCAAAGATTATTGTTAAACCCATGACTGTTGACAAACATTTTGAATTTGAGCTCATAAACATAAAAACAGTATTGAATCAATACCTATCTACCACATAAAATCTCAATGGATAAAAATTATTATCGAAAACAAGACCTAATTTAACTACCATATTTATTGATTTCACTAGCCTCCAACAAAAAATTTATTATGTTCTACAAAATAATGCAATAATTAGTAATAAAACAAAACATATTTATGGTGTTTCTCGAAGAGGTCTAGGTTTATAACACTGAAATATTTTATGTTACAGAAAAGTGAATGTAATATAACCTTATTCAAATAAAAACAAATTTTCGAATAATTTTTCTGGCTTTGAAAACGACGTACCTACGTAAATGTTCATCCACTGCAACAGTACGAACCGAAATCATATTATCTGTTGGAAAAATACGTGAATTACACCAAGTAGATGCGAATAAAGTTCATGACATCTTAGAAGAAATTGATTAATTAGAAGATGACCTCTTTAGACAAATGCAAAAGGTGTATTTTATAAACGAAGTCTTTATTTAATCACACAAAAACTATTAAGAATGCTTCGGGATAGCTGATAAAAACATCTCTAGTAATATCAAAAATTCGTTAACTCAAAATATGAATTTGAAAATATATTTACCAGCCCCGAATCCTATGCCTATGGTCAGTTTGGTCTTTGTAAACCAGGTTTTTACCTGAAGCACCGCTATGTTTTTGTTTTCACCTGTTATAAAAATAAAATTCTAGCCGCAAAAATATCCTTATCTCGGAAAAAACTGGCTGCTACTTGAATTTATTGCTCACCTTATCAGCAACAGATATTATCCATTAATTGTTTAATAAAAGAATCTTATGGAATCGGCACACACATTCACAGCGAACTGGGATGGGCCACACACCATAAACAACAAACGAACAACACTTATTGAATCGACTAAACTACACTATACTACTCCTCTAACCTGTAAATAATCACTTGTTCTACATTTCTTAAAAGAGGTGATGATATCAGTATATTAGTCAGAAACGGATGGTTTGCCGCTGAAATTTAGAAATCCGGAAATATATCGTATGATAACGAAAGGTGTAGTTTATATTAGGGATTAATTGCCGGACTACTTTTCGGTCGGTAGCAAAGACGCGTAGAGTTACAAACGGGAGAATCAGCATTTAAAACGTTACGTCACGTATATACATAGTGATGTTGTCACGCCCCGAGGAAGATATTTAAAATTCCTTGATAAACTGTAAATGTAAGAGCGACCCTAGGTTTTGATTAAAACTCTTTGGAATTAACATTTTAAAATATGCTTTGTGCTAATTTGGTTCTCAAATATCTTTTGACTAAATTTTAAAATATAAAAATATACATTTCTAATTTGTAAATAGTAGATAGGCTATGCTGTTTGTTGTTTACATAGTGCTAAAAATAAATTGTTTGTTGCTAATATGAACGATTTTATGGCAGGCAAGGGAATGCCATATCGCTTGCTTTTATTTTTAGATTTAACTTCTAATAAAAACAAAAACACAAAATCAAAGTTTCAGTATGAGTATAGGTTTCGAGATACAGGATGTGGAAATTTGAAAATAAAATCTGTTTTCATTTTAATTACACAAAAAAGAAAGTGCTCAAGCAATTTCATTCAACTTGATTGACAAGCGGTATTAATTTCTGGTTGCCCATATCTATCAGTGTTGCCCACTAAGAACCAGTAAAAGTTTTTTGGGACAGGGACACACAATTCGAATGAAATTCCTTTTTATATACCTACGACATACTGGCCATCTAGGTTTAAGTATTCGATGAATTTTAGCAAAGTATTTTAGAAAAAAAATTTGATTAAATCGCTGATCATTTTTTTATTTAAAAAAAGATCTAGGTAGTCCTAATCAATTGTAATTAAAATTCTCTCAAATTTCATTCATTTATAATGTAGAACTTTAAAGACCTAAAAATGAAAAAATAGGCAATTACTGACTCCGTTGATTACAATTGGTAAATATTTTGATTTTAGGTTGAATCTATTGTATATTTTTACAATTCTAGGCTCTTCAGCTAAACTGTATATTACGTATTTGCGAACCTTTTAAATTGAAATAAAAACATTAACAAATTTTAGCTCATAAAAAATTGTCCATTATAAATTGATACAATTTTATATACAAAAATTTTAAGTGATACTGATGAAAAAATATCCCTAACCATTTCCTCAAAAATTGCTTAAAAACCACAGCATGCTATGGATTGCCAACTGGATCATCCTAATTAGATCAACAAGTACATCTAGAAGGCCACTATAATAAGGACAAAAGTAATTTTCTGAAAGATTGCTGAAACTAGTCAAATAGTTTTAAGGCGCACATTGTAATGGAATATATTCCAGAATATGTATGAGTATAAAAATTTTTATTTCAATCATGCCTCCCAAATATCTTTACAGTTGTGTCCTGAGCCACTCTGTATATGTATCATAGTTTTATTACACATGAATAACAAAATGTTAAATAACATCCAGGTTTCTATTACCAAACTAAAAATATGTGTGGCTTCCTCGAGTGGTTTTTGCAATTTGGAATAAACCATACACTTTTCATTATTTTGTGAACACCCTGTATCTCAAAGACAGTGTTTGCATTTATGTTTGCACTAGCTAATTTTTTGTTTACAGAAAATAATTTTAATGTTATTAAACACAAACTCAAACTACGAACAATTGGTAACTGCTGAATTCTAAACGTGCCTTTTTCATAAATCTCGGAATAAAAAAAGAAGGTAATAAAAAACCGTAATTATCCTTAACAAAATTTATTTGTTACTTGAATACAAAACATCATTCACGTTTTAAAACAAACGCCTAGGCATCTGCAATGGTGACTTCAACTTCTACGCCAGGCTCGATGTTGATGGAAGTGATCTGTTTAACGATTTCTGAAGGAGAGTGTAGATCGATGACTCTCTTGTGGATCCTCATCTGGAACCTGTCCCAAGTCTTGGAACCCTCACCGCAAGGCGTTTTCCTTGTCGTGATACGTAGGATCTTTGTGGGCATACGTACTGGCCCCTTAACCTTCAGCTTCTGCTTTTTGGCAGCATCGATTAGGTCGGTGCACACTTTCTCCAAAGAGCGGACGTTACGAGAAGTCAACGTAATTCTGATGTGATGAATTGGCGCAGTATCCTGTCCGGGTTTTTCGGGATTACCTTCCTTTACAGATGCCTACGCAAAAAAAAAACATGCGTTTAGTTCACTAGTTAAGACCACGAGGTTGTATAACCTCACTTACTGGTTAGTGACTTTAAACTAAGTTGAGATCAACTCCGAATATTATTCATATGTTGTAACTGGCATTATTTAATACGTACCATTTTTTAAAACTTATTTTCTGGTCGAGATAATCAATTTTTTCTTTAAAAATTGACCAGCGCTGAACCAGATGCACGCACAGCACAACGAAGTTCAGAGAAGAAGGGCAAGAAGAAGAAGAAATAGAAATATTAATTAAACTATTTTTTACGACTACATCTGATCTGTCGCCTCAAAATCTCCGAGGCGACTGGTTGCGTTTCACGCTGAACGCTTAACATACACCGATCATTGTTCCTGAGCGACAATTTCGGTTTTGTATCTTATTGCGTGAGTAACTTATAAAATCAAAGGTATCGATTACAGACTTTTCGACTTATTTATACTCAGTACGTAATGTGAAACGAATGTTTCCATCCTTCATTATTCTGAACGGTGTGCCTGGTAGATAAACTCAGTGCAAACTGAGTTGAAAAGTGCAAATAAATCAAAAGCGCTATACATGTGCGATCAGTTAGTAGTAAGTAATAATCTTAGAGTAATATACTACTGGAACTGGAGGCAGCGTCTCAGTAGCCGAGAGTGTAGCAGAGGCTTAGAGAGAGAGAGAGAGGTTAGGAGTGTATTGGCTATCTCTCTCTAGCAACATGCAATCGCGTGCTGCTAGAGAGAGATAGCAAATACCCTCCTATACTTCTCTCTCTCTAAATCTCCGCTACACTCTCGGCCACTGAGGGGCTGCCTCCAATAGTATAAGCTCCAAGATAATAACCATTATAAGTAATAAGAATGTAAGAAATTAGTTTGATTCAGATTATTGAAGTCAGATAATTTGAATTGAAATTAATTGAAACTTTGTATTTAAAAGAACAAAACAGAAATAATTTTAAAAGAAAGGATATGTTGTTTTGTAATTCAATAGCTATTTTTCAGTTGACAAAAAATGTACTTTGGAAGCATTCGGGAATACTTTTCTAAGGTGACTGACACATGTGTATTTTAGAATTTTAGTGAGATCTGAAGGCGCGATCGTAATGCCTCCTGGATCATGACGGTCTGCTACAAACGTCAAAATTGTAGGCAAGCGTCAGCCATTACTTTGCCTTATCTGTTCTTGATGATTAGAAATTATTTTATGATAAATATGAAATTGAAATTAGTATTATTTGTAAATAATACAAGAAATTGATGCTAAAACTAAGATTTTTTACATTTTGCCGACATTCATCGCTAGCAGAAAACACTAATAAAGAGAATATCACAATTTTGAATAAAATTCAGGTGTATTAAATATTTACTTTCATTAAAAACAAAATATTTCCGCTAGAGGGCGGGGCGTTTTACTTGGCACTATACATGGGGGGCTTTCGTTTTGGCAAAAATAGTAACTATTAGCAACTAATATCAGTTCAGAGTAGCTCTAAGTTGTTTTAGCTATTCATTAGCTACAATTTTTGCCAAATCGAAAGGCCCTACGGAAAAAGTTTAATACCCATAGATTAGGTAGAGTTTTAATACCTATCAAAACCATAATAAAGTAATTCAGCACAATACGGGATCAAAAATATGCCATAGATGTACAGGGTGACCTACTTAACTTTCCCCCACCCCACTTATCTCGGTAAGTTTTGCAAATATAAGAATTTTGTTGAAATAAAAGTATTTTTTATGAAATTTCTGTTTATAGTAACAAAAAAACAATTCAAATTTAAATGTTGATGTGACTGTTACAAAATATTACTTTTTTAATGGAACACTGTAAATTATTACATTTTCAGATGTAAAATTTTATTTTGAACAAAAGTATATAGTTTTATTATAAAATATCGGGAAACGAAAACAGAAATACATAAACAATAATTCGAACAAATAACAAAATTAGGTATTAACGTTACGTATCCAGAGGAATGCGACTCAGAATATTTATTCAAATAATTTATATTTTTCTCGTTCTGTTAATATTTCCTACTCTTTCTATAATTAATTTTGTTATTTGTTCGAACTATTGTTTAGTTTTTCTGTCTTCGTTTCTGAGATATTTTACAATAAAACTGTCAAAAATAAGTGTGTCACATTTTGTTCAGAATAAAATTTTACATCTAAAAATGTAATAATTTAGTGTTCCATTAAAAAAAAATAAGTTGTATCTGTCACATCGACATTTAAATTTGAACTGTTTTTTTGTTGTTACGAACAGAAACTTCATAAAAAACAGTACAACTTTAATTTCAAAAAAACGTTTGGTGTTTGCAAAACTAACCAAGATAAGTGGGGTGGGAAAGTTAAATAGACACTGTATATATTATAATGTTCATTACATTGTTGATAATGGAAGTCATTCTAATAATAAGCACAGATTTGTATGGGACAGGGGCAGCATATCATTATTCAACATTTCTTTGTTCTAAAAACATACACCATTCTTGGAAACACGTTTTTATGTAAAAAATTAAAAAGGAAGAAAATAATACACAGAAATCTTAATAAAAATTGTATTTTAAAATGAATACAATTTAAACTATTGTTAGATCTAAGACTACAGCAGCATAGACATTCTGATGACAACAAAGCTTTTCTAAAATGTGAACCGATAAAAAGACAAATATTAAATATGAATACTCTTATATCTTATAAACAAAATAAAGTAAAAGATGTACTTCGAAATTGTTTAAGTAATTCTGATATATATGAAAATAGATATATTCTTTCTTGTTCCATTTTTGACGAAGACTATAAAAATGTACATATAAAATTAAGACTTTTTGAATGGTTAAGGTGACTGTTTGAAAGGCTTCATAGATTTCGAACGAGAATTCAATTTTTAATTTCGACAATTGTTACATTTCAAACTTTACCATTAACGGGGAAACTTAAGCAGTCATAAAAATTATGAAAGGCAAAAAACCGTTCCTTTAAAGCAGAAAAAATTATGTTCTCCGAGCGGTTTGAAATGCAAAATCGACAAAAAATAGAACTCCATGCAGGTAAAAATCTGTAAATGGAATGGAGTAACGGCAACACTAGCAAAACAATAAAAATAAAAAGTATAAAAGTTTAAAAGATTCTAAACTCGAACTCACACGTGACGACGTAAGCCGAGCGGCGGTGTTTCAAACAATCACCTCCCCAAACTAAACTACACAAATCGTCAAAATCTAACACAATATACACACATATACATGCATTTATAAAAATAACAACAAAGATATCAAACGATACGAAGTAGGTACGCTTTTTATTTTTAAATAAAACTCGTATTAACATTGAGTAGTAGACACCGCAATATCGGTTCGGGTTAGGAGTGGAACCGCTATTACCGCGTCCACCTTGGGGTGTGCTAGATTTTAAGATTTCCTTTTTTTTCATATTTTCATTCATATAAATACTACATTGTGAACGTCGAAAACTTTTTTTTTGCAAAAAAATTGTTATTTAAATAACTATAAATTCTCATATTTTTTCCCGTGTATAAAAAATTCATATTAAACTTACTTGATAAACATTTTTTTTCTCCAACAGTTAATGTTTGAAATGCAATAAGTAAAAAATATGAGAAACAAAATGTGAATTTTGTACTGGAACAAACTTTTGTAGATTGTTCAATATAGTTTTCTTATATTCTATAGATCAAATTAGTTCACGTTGATATTAGCTGAAAAAGACAAAATTCAAATTATTCAAAGACGAAACATAACCAAACTATGAACTACGATGTATAAAGCACCCTAATGCGTTTTAAACTCCACATATTTTTATATGAGAAAAAAAAAAAAAACATAAACATTAAGCGGTATCCGATTAGTTAACTATTACAGAAATGACGATGATGAAATTTTAACCTGTCTTTTAAATACTTACGGATTTTACGGTTGATTTAATAAAATCTTTCTTGTGAGTGAGATCGAAATCTGGATAATGGCCGTACACTCGCTGACAGACAGTCTTCATTGTGATCTCCTCCAGATTTGCGCCTTCTAGTATACTTTTTATAAAGGTCTTGATTTCATCGTCCTGAAGCCATTACAAAACAAATTTGACGAATCGGAAGAAAAACTTTTTTCATATTTTTTTAAACTCATTTCGAAGTGGTACGCAGTAATAAAACAGAGACCCATGAATAAAGCGATGCACACCTGAGAACATTGTTGTTCGTTGTACGAGAACATTTCCCAAAATTACTGAAAATTTTCTACAAAATTCCGTTCCCCATCAATTTTAAATAATCCACATACAGTCCGTACAATATTTGTTGAGATAAAATTCCAAGAAAAGAACAAGCCAATAAAGTTCCGTTTTCTGAGCCACTGTAACAATTTACCGCGGCAGGGGCATGCTTTGAAATTTTTATTAAGAAAAATTATCAAAATAATTATACACGTTAAACACGATACTCTTTGAGTGGGAATTAAATTCTCTTCTTTTATTTTTCACCTCCATTGATTTATTTTAATAAGAACTACACTGAAAATTATCAAAATAATTATACACGTTAAACACGATACTCTTTGAGTGGGAATTAAATTCTCTTCTTTTATTTTTCACCTCCATTGATTTATTTTAATAAGAACTACACTGAAAATGCACAGAACAATACACTTACGAAGATAAATGCCTTCGTAACCGCGGAACACAGTAAGCACTGCACGGTGAACAACCATGCTGCCAATGTCTTTTTACCTCAGGTATCGAATGCGGTTAATTCTAAGAAAGTTACGCAGGGGTCTTCTTGGAATTTTGTCTCAACAAATAACGTGCGGGCTGTATATGTAGTGTAACTTTACTACTGGTGTTTGCAAAATGCTTTTTTATTGTTCTATCTAACATATACAGAGTGTTAATTAAGTACATAGACAAACTTTAAGGGATGATTTTGAGTGATTTTAAACCAAACGTATAAACATGGATCTGCTTAACGATAGTTTTCAATACAGGGTGTTAAAAAAAAAATAACTAACATATCTCTCAAGGCATTTGATGATGAATGATGAAACAAAGGCCAACGATTTTTCTAATTAATGGTAAAAATCCACTGAATTCGTATATAGTCAAAGCTCCTTATTCGCGGATCAAAAGATTGTGATCACTTCCCGTATTCATAAGTGAAAAATTGTGTATTCGGCGGTTCGAAAACTAACAATACATATTGTATTTTTAGAATAATATGCATTTATTTTTATTTGTCAAAATAAGCAAGTAGGTATCAAAACATTTGTAAACAAGCAAATCTTAATGTCGTGAAGCTTCGGCTTTGACAAAAGTCGCCGCTGACGCAGCTCGCTTACGCGTGCCACTAGGGCCTTTGATAAATGTGACACTAAACTTAAAAACCCTGAGTGAAGGTTTCGGATAGCAAATGAGCTTTGTTATTTTTCGATAAAAATTGATCCATCTATGGAAAGTCTTATTTTTAATATTGTTAAAATTTATCTAATACATTACTTTTATTGTTTTTTTATTATTTTGCAACATTAGAACGTATCCCCTATATTTCCATACAAAATGCCACTCCGTATTCGCAGTACATTTTCGGAACGTTTGTCCCGCGAATAAGGAGCTTTGACTGTAAGTACATTGTATCCGTGGTAGCTATACCGGGAATTAATTTCTCTAAAAAGCCCAGAAATCCGACGGCTACTTAATATTTTGAAAATTCTATTACTTACTACTTTTAACTCCTTATGGCGTTTCCGAAAAAAATATAATTTTCATTTTATTTGAAAAACACGTAATTTACAACTTTTTAATTTTCGTTAATGCTACGAAGTAATTAATTAAACCTAATATTATTCTAGAACTACTCGTTTTTTGTGAAAATATGATGTTAAACAGAATCATGAAAGGTCCGAGAGAATAAATGGCACAATCTTTTTTCCGGGCCATATGCTTTGCTACCGAAATAAAAATATAAAATCTCATGCCATCGATTTTTTTCAGGCTTATAGTGATTAGTTTGTCTTTAAAACTGTATTTCTAACAAAAAATCCCATACAATTTTTTTTGAAAAATGGGTAGTTTTAAAGTTATTTTACATTTTGTGGAGTGCTTGGTAACGTTAATGAAAACAAAAAAAAAATAAATAATTAAAAGGTTCACTTTTCGAAGAAAAAAATTTAAAAAAACTTGTTGCAGGTAGCAAATAAATTTTCAAAATATCCAATGGTGGTGTTTTATTAATTACAATACTTTAGACAATTAAACAGTTATAAAATTATTGGAAATTATATCTACAACAATAGAGAAATAAGACGATATATTTCTTGATTGAAAATTTTTAGAATATTACTTATTGAAAAAAAAACCTACGACTTCTTGGAAAAAAGCTACGGTTCAACGGCTACCATAAAAAGATATTGTACTTGAAAATAACGTGGTAAAAAAGGAACCTTTGCGCACAAAGAAGTTATAATTATTTTAAATAACCTTATAATTCTAAGGCTACAAAACACAAAAATGGTAGATCTATCTTTGTTTACTCTGAACCTACCTTTACCTGAGATACATATATTTTAATAAAGTAAACCAAAAAAGAAATGTCCTGTCCCAAGGATCTGTCATAATGTACAATGTTAGTTATCACCCAAAATAAAAAAAAAAAATCAACAAAGCATAATATTTATGGTGCTATTCTGCCTTCACAAATGAGTACAAGCCACGTGACCAGTAATTTTGTTTGAAACAATAATTTTATTTCCTTCATGTTGACAATTAAATTTCGGAAAAGAACCCCGTACAAAATATATGGAAAAAAATCACAGTCGAATTGACTGAAATTTTGCAGAGTTATAGTTTTTAGCATTCCGATCAAAAGTCTCAATGGTCCCAAAGACGGGTTATGCCTAGTTTCCAATATATTGGGTCTTAAAGTGAGCCATTTAGGAGGGACGACTTAGTAAGTCTGAATAATTATCTGCAGACCGACAATTCATTACCAGACTTGACGAGGTATACTAGGGTTTTTGGGGTCGCTGAATCCGAATATGGGTCTCGCTTGGCCCTTGGAGATTCTTGCAATTCACTTAGAGATCGTTTCAAGATCGTTTGTGTGTGCGCGTGTGTTTCTCCTATTTTTTATATTTTGTTTGTATAAAATAAAGGACACTTTCATGAATTTAGAAATAACATCAACGTTTTATCGATAAATACATCTGATTCTATATGTACAGGGTGATTCACTATATTTTGACCCCTATTTAACTTTTTTGTTTTACGAGCTATAAAAAAATGTGAAATACAAAAGTTGTACGATTTTTTATGAAGTTTTCGCAAAATGATAGTAGAAAAACAAATTAAGTCCAAACAAAAAAAAGGGCAGCGGATGCTAACATTGTTAATTTAAATGGAACATCCTGTATATTTTTACATATTTGGATAGAACATTCCCAGCATAGTCATATTGGGTTTGTTGGGTCGATCTCTAACAATAAGCGAGATAATATTAAAAAACGAAAAGAAGGTTTTTTATTAACAAAATAAGACATCTTGTAATTGTTGGACCTCTTTCAGGCATTTCTGCCTTTTTTTTTTCAATTACGTAAGGATTTACAGATTTAGTTGTTGATTTAGTGAGTCATCCCTCCTAAGGCTTGAGGCCCAATATCTCAGAAATTATGCATAGCCGGTCTTTAGGTCCATTGAGACTTTCGATCAGAATGACAAAAACTATAACTGCAAAATTTCAGCCAATTCGACAGAGATTTTTTTTTCCCGCATATTGTGTGAGGTCCTTTAAAATTTATTAAAATAATAAGATCAAGATTTCTTTAAAGCACATGTTGGTCACGCCAAGATTTAGGGATTTTTCGTTAACAGTGTGGATGAATCCAATTAATATCATATTTGGTGTGTTTATTCGTTACAATAAAGGCCTGAACACCCTGAAGGACTTGTTATTTTGTTCATACATTTTTTTTTATTCAATTTGCAACTTTTTTAAAAATTAAAATTTTAACAATTCTTAGTTCAGGCCCTTCACAGTGTTGTACATTAACATGACCTCCAGGGATTCTGATTTCAGATAGACGGTTCTGAGGTTTTCACGTTTACAGCAGAAAGAGCGGAGAAGTCATTTTTCGTTCAATTTTTATTTTTTAATGTAAAAATTTTCAAAAATACATCAAAATATGTCCTTTTTAATATCAATAAAAGCTTTTCAACAAATATTTATTAAACTGACCAAAAAAAAATTAAAATCATGTAATTTTTCTTATCTCGACCTGGTACAACCCTTTAAAGCACTGTGTTTAGTTTGTGAATCGCAGTGCCAATTACCTGACATTGACCTAGTTTCGGTGAACTACATAATATCAATCCACTCAATACGACGTGACAACACGACACTCAGCAAACAAAACCAAACGATCAACTCCAGCAAAAAAAAACGAGAAAGGCGGAATATCTCAGTATGTCGTTGCATTGCATTTATTTTAACTTTCAGTTTACAGGATTACCAGGCGTTTGTAATGTAGTAGGTAATTTCGTGACTTCCTGTGTGAAGTATTAGTTTTGCAGTAACGTGTTTATGTGTCTTCATTGCTAAATTTATGTGATATTATGAAACGAAACATTCAAAGTTATACCCTCTGTGTGAACTATGTTCTTTATTTTGAGTTATTTTCTCACCTGATAAAGTTTGGCATGTACATTCAGGACACCCTGTATAATGAGCTGGTTTTAATTAAAAAATTCTGAATAGTTACTCGCTGTGCCAAAACAAATATTGGTACTGGCCTACCTTACTCCGAACCATTTCAAAACCGAGTATAAATGTAAATATAAACTTTCTACATCCTTACCGTTGGCGGTTGGGTGTTCTTGGCCTTTTTGGCCAAAGGCTCGTCCTCCGACGAGCTTCCGTCTTCTTTGTGGTCGCTCTCTTCGTCCTCTTCCGAGCTCTCCTTAGATTTCTTCCCCCGGGCGGGTGTCTTTTTTGGGGTTGCAGGCGGACGGCCTCTTTTCCCGGGAGTGCTCTTTGCCTTGGTCTTATTGTTGGCCTTCACCGGGTTCTTTTTACGCTTGGACTTAGGTTCATCCTACGAAACGGTAACAATAAAAAAATGTATTTCGCCATTTTTGATCCTTCAATTAATCGATTCAAAGGTGGCCCCTGCGTTAATGCAATTAATACAAATTAGTAGAACAAAATTCGCATGCGTAGAATTTTGATATCGAAGAACATTGTTTACATCATTTATTAAGATTTTAGGAATTTTTTTTAGTCTGATTGATTTTTACTTACATCTGATTCGTCGCTGGTCGCGACGCTGGCCTCGCTAGCCTCTTCTTCTGAGGAATCTTTCTTCTGGCTCTTTCTCTTGCGCTTGTTCACTTTCGGCTGGTCCTCGCTGCCATCCGACTGGTTAGGCTGGAATTCCTCGTCACTGGAACTGTCGTCCTTCAAGTTGGTTCTTTTTCCTACAAGCAAAGGACCCGACACCGTTCATGTTCTGTTCACATTCGCGTTACATTACAAAAGCATTGAAAGTACATACTTTTGTGAATTTCAATATAATTAAAAAAAAATAATAAATACCTTTATCCCGCCTTGCCCGGGACGATTGCTTTTCGTCACTAGAATAGTCGTCGTGCGAGGAATATCCTGCAGAAAATTGAAATATTTTAAATTCGGTTCGAGTATTTAACTTAAAATCGCAACCTAAAATAAATTTAAAAAAAATACGAGAAAAGAAAATGGGAAGCGTGGTGAAACTAACGTTTTCAAATTCTTGTCCGTAATGACGACCCCCTCAATTATCGAAACATATTTAAGGAACACCTTGTATATTTGATTAAAAAAATATAAAGAGGAAAAATTCAGTAACAAACAAATAAGAGGAATAGAACCGACGAGCAATTTCCCCGAACTCACCTCTGTTATTGGCCTTGACCGCAGCGGTTCTCTTGGGTCTGCCCCGACCGCTATCCTTGGGCTCTAAGAGGAAATCTATTATCCTATCAACGATATCGTCCTTAGTTCCGGACTTGGGCAGATCTAACATTTCGCATATGCTTTTTAGTTGTTTGATTTCGAACTTGTGAGCAAATGACACCTTTTTAGTGTACTCCTCGGAATCCTTACTGAAATCGAAGCCGTTGAACTTCCTGATATTCTTTTTTATTAAAGTGTTTTTTCCGACCACCTTGTATAAGAGTCGGTGGAGCAATTTAAGGTCGTCGTTCTTAAAACGGGATATGGAGGCATCTACCCGGGGTATGTCCCCAAGGGACGATCCTGATCCACTGACAAATTCTACCTTTGTCTGGAAAGGAATTTTAATTAATTTCTCATGCTTAATGACAGATTTAACTTTTGTTCTTGGCATTATTCAAAAAAATCAAATAAAACGATTATATTTTAGGAAACTTTTACCTCTTTCACTTCCGAAGCAATTTCCAAACGTTGGACGTTCTTCCGTTCCCTCTTCCCAGACAATTCCAGTGGTTGATCCAGCAACGGCACTTCCTTTTTACTGTCCTTTTCATCGTCCTCCTCATCTTTCTCGCTATTCTCGCTCTTTTCTTCATCTTTCTCTTCCTTTTCCTTTTTATCTTTCTTATTATCCTTATTTTCTATATCCTCGGTATCGCTTTGAGTCTTTTTGTCATCTTCATTCTTCTCTTCCGCCTCTACTTTTTTTTCTGCAGATTTATCATCGCCGTCTGTCTCCTCTTTAGGTTTTTCCGGCTCTGTTTTACTTTCTACATCGTTTTCAACAGTAGCATTCTCAGTTTTGGCATCAGTAACATCATGCGAATCTTGGGATGAATCTGTGTTGTTGTCAGTCCCACTTTTTTCGTTGGACTAAAAAAATATCAAAAAGTCATTAAATTCCTCATTATAATTCGACTTAACACAGCATATTTAACTAAAATATTGTATTTTTTGCGCAAAACTTGTTTCCCGCTTTTTCAAGTATCAACATCCGCCATATTGAATTTGAGAACCAAACATGTTGTTTTTTTTACACCAATAATTAAGTTACAAAATATTTCTTATAATTTGAAACATACGATTTGCGTTTGTTATCTATTTTTCAAATAAATTAATAAAAATATATCCCAAATTACCTCTGACAACACACTTTTTGAAGAATCACCTTCACTAGACATGGCAACTGTCATATACCATGTACCGCGTCTAGAAATATCCAATAAGAAGTCACACGCATTGTAGTGGTGGTCAGACCGTTATTCCTAATTTTCTAAGGTAAAATTTTGTTTAATACTGTTTTGGTCAACTAACGGCTTCAATAAATCGGCTAGGTAAAACAATTTTTAAAAGTAATTGGAAATTAATTATGCTTATATAGTAAACAGAAATGCAGTGTATATATATACAAATTAATGAGTAAATGAAATATAAAATAATGACTATTATTATTTTCAATCTAAAATACATGTGGCTTGGTTTGTAAAAAGTAAAGAAATATATGTATATATGTATAACGTGAACTGTACATTTGCCAATAGGCCCCTGTAATAAATTTATTTCATCATATACTTTTATTTCTAACTGTTGAAAGTTAAGAATTAATGAAATATGTTTATCAAGCTTTTTTTTGCTTTTTGAAATAAGTGCGACTAATCGAATACACAAAATGTCGCCTCATTTAAAGTCGTTGTATTGCCTTTTTTATCTGACTTCTTGTAATTAACTATATCAACCAGGGACAACAAAAAATATATCAACTATTACAACACATTCTAATTAATTAAATGCAACAGTAATCGATATCTTTTTTATAGTAGTGGACGTTATAAGAGCACTTGTGTTTTATACACTTGTGATCTGAATTACAGACATTTTCTATGATTACAGAACATCCCTAACTAAGTAACTAAACTGAATTGAACTAACTTGCTAATCACAAGTATACGTATAGTTAAATGAAGTTGTCTCTAATTTTCCTACCAATCTCATAAAACTAATTAACTAGTATGAAAGTAACTAACCAATAACTATTAACTTGTACCAACCTTTAACTTTCCAATTCCAATTCTTGTCAATACGATAAGTACAGTTTTGTACACGTGAATTTTATTTTATAAATATATTAATCGACAGTTAATATAAGGTAAAAGACAATATTTGTGAAAAACATAATCCTCGAGTTAAATATGTATCCATTATGTACATCTTAACTCGGTCTTCATATAGAATACCAAATTTTTAACCTCTACAAACCATATTTCAGATCAAAATGCCGCTCTCTTGTCGGTTCTATAAAGAAAAGTACCCAGAAGTGGAAGACGTAGTAATGGTAAATGTAAGAGCCATTGCCGAAATGGGGGCATATGTCCACTTGTTAGAATATAATAATATTGAAGGTATGATCTTGCTATCCGAATTGTCGAGGAGACGTATTAGGTCTATTAACAAACTTATTCGAGTGGGAAAAACTGAACCTGTCGTAGTTATTAGAGTCGACAAGGAGAAAGGTTATATAGATCTGTCTAAGAGACGAGTAAGTGCGGAAGATGTAGAAAAATGTACAGAAAGGTTCGCAAAAGCTAAAGCCGTAAATTCAATTCTGAGACATGTAGCTGAGTTATTAAGATACGAATCGGATGAACAATTAGAAGAATTGTACCAGAAGACTGCCTGGTATTTTGAGGAGAAGTACAAGAAAAATAAGGCTAGTGCTTATGATTTCTTTAAGCAAGCTGTTTTGTAAGTATATTACATCTTATTCATATAAAATTCGTATTTGTGTGTATTAGGACAAATTTTATTTAATTTGTAGAGATCCAAGTATATTAGCCGAATGTGACTTGGATGAAAAAACGAAAGAGGTACTACTGGGCAATATTAAGCGAAAACTCACGTCTCAGGCTGTAAAAATCAGAGCAGATATTGAGTGTGCTTGTTACGGTTATGAGGGAATTGATGCAGTAAAAACTGCCCTGAAGGCTGGCCTCTCCTTGTCTACAGAGGAATTACCAATTAAAATAAACTTGATCGCTCCCCCTCTTTACGGTAATTAACTAAATTTGTAAATGTTTACATTTTCTCATGTTTTCATTTTAGTTATGACAACATCTACACCAGAAAAGCAAGATGGGTTAAAGATTCTAAACGATGCCATTGAGAAAATTAAGATTACTATCAACGGCTTAGGTGGTGTTTTTAATGTTCAAATGGCGGTGAGTACACGCTTAAATAAAATTATTGCTATAGAAATTTAACCGAAAATTAATAACCGTTTTTTATAGCCTAAAGTTGTAACGGCTACGGATGAGGCCGAATTAGTCAAACAAATGGAAAGAGCGGAACTTGAAAATGCCGAAGTTGCTGGTGACGATGATGAGGAAGAACAAGACGAGGGGCAGGTTTACAGTGAAGGAGAAGACAAAGGCGAATCAGAAAACGAAGATTAAGTTTCATTGGGAGTGTTTTGCGAAGCAGAATATTAAGTTTTAATACTGCAAATTTTGTGTAATTGAAATATTTACCATAATGATTTTTATATTTAATGAATATATGTGGTTAAGTCTAACAATCCAGATAACTGTGTTTATTTTATTCCTTACATTTTTCAATTTCATTTTCTCAGCACATAAGAATGTTTTAGGTTATGGCTCATATATGTTGTCGGTCTGGTCAGAGTTTCCATGGGTCAGGCCACTGGTCTGTAATCTGTATCAAAATTACCCGCTCTGTGATTGTAAGTGATCTGACCTTACAACGAGCGTCAGCTTTTGACATCTGAAGATCCATCTAACTTTATTGTAGTTTCATGGTATAATGATAAAGACAAGTGACAGGGATAGAAGTATGTGGTGACAAGTAATAATAATCTTAACCACACTTTTTGTTTATTTCATTTGCAAATAATAAATGAAAATATGGAGGATGAACAAGTACCTAATGGAAAAGACAGCGACTTAAATACGGACACAATCGAAGATATAAAATTAAGCGGCATAACCCTTGAAGATTGTTTCAGAAGTGTAGTAGAAGGAAATTCTATTGAATTTGAATTAGAGAATTTAAATAATATATTAAAGAAGGACCTGCAAGTAAACTTTTATTATTTAAAATCCAGATTGAAGCATGTTATGCCTTATATGTTAGTTCATTTCATAAATTGTTGGCCTGGGTGGCAAAAAAGCGGCTTCTATATAAATAAACAAATTACTTTCAAGAGCTGGTTTGCGAAATTTAAGGAATATTTAGTGTTTAAAATAAATTATTTAATAAAGAATGATTACGAAAAGGTATCAGTTATGTTAAAGACCAATCCACCTATTGAAGATAGTATTTCCAAAATAGATAATAGTACACAAATGAATATTCCGCTTGAGAAAACTGTGTCTCCATACACTGTTGAAATTCAGGGTGTCCCAAAGATGTTGAATTCCTTAATATTTTGCGAAGGGCCCAAAGGTGAGTGTGAATTTAGTTTTTGATATTTTGCATTAAATTAGGTCAATATTATTTAACTTTTCAGATGGCATTATTGTAAGAGAGTACAAGACCAATCCCTTTATTGAAAATTTGACTATAAAACAATTACTAAACTGGCCTCATGTCGAGGTAGAATTTTTATCTAAAGAATTAAATTTTAACAGAAAGAACATGCATGAATTTAAAAGGTTTCTTATGTTAAGTAATGAGAAAATAACATTTAAGAAAATAGAGGCCTTTATAGAAGAAGTAGAAATTATCAATAAACAATTAAATAGGACTGTTTATACTTTAAATGTGTGGAGGGAATATTGCAATACTTATATTGATGTACTGAGGAAACATACAAAAATTATGGTAAGAAAAATGTTAAGAAAGTTTAATTGAGCATGTGAATTTAAAATTTTTCAGGAAATAACGGATGAATATATAGGCGACATTAAAGCACTTTTTGATGAACTTCTCATGGACATTACAGAGTTAAATATGGGTAGTATGGCAACAAACACCTCGGTGCTCTTTAATATTGGAAGTTATATTTACGCCAGGAATAAAAGTGTTCGTACGAGGTAAAGAACCTAAATTCCATGTTTATGTATGCTGTACGTCATCTTTAATTATTTAATTACAGCGGCCAAGCGGTCTCTTTCGCCGAATCCATAACTCCCAAAGTGAATGTTTCACTTTTTTCTTTTACCGGTCTTAAGGACGAGGAGAGCGATACGCCTTTCCAAGACCTACAGAACGCTCTCGATTCCACCGACAAGGATTTAATCCAAAGTTTCTTACCTCTCCTTAAATACGGTTGCACATACTGTGACAGATATTACAACAACAAACAGCAACTTTTACATCACTTCAAGGACAAACACTGCATGGAACAACCAGTACTGTGTTTTAAATGTAAGTTAGAAATGGACGTTGGCAGGATTTGCAGCAACCGGTGGACTCACCAGTGCCGCAGTAAGGATACCGTGGGGACAAGTGTAACTAGGTGATTCCCAGTTAAAGTTACGTATGTCAAGTGTACATAAGCATCACACGAATAATCGTGACTGTCAAATGTAATAGTTCCGCTTTAAGTTAATATTAGTTGCACAAAAATTAGCGTTGTAAGTAATTTTTAGATAGGATGTCGTGTTTGTCTCCACGATTATTTTTTAAATTTTTTATTTTTAAGGTAAATTTAGTTCCCATGTTAAAATTGTTTTACCATATAAGTTGCAGGCGCAATTTTTGTTAAATAAGGTTAGTAATATTTATAAAAACTTTTAATATCTTGGGCATTTAAGACGATATATTCAGTCTAAACACTAAAATAGAGCTTGATGTTGTCAACAGTAAGAAAATTGCCCACGATTACCTGTGGACTACTTTTGTTTTTGTTTTAAGTAATTTTAGCATGTTGCAGCTTATTCAAAATGTATTTATTATTATTTTGAAGTACATCATAATTTTTCACAATGCTAAAATAATTTTTTTTTAACTGGTGATCTTGTGTTGTGGATTATATTGCAGAAATATAGTCTTTTGCAGTACCTCCCTTCATCTTTTCTTTGCCCTCTTCTCACTTCCGTCTTTTTGTTTTTTCTTTACCTAAAATAAAACATATTTTATACAATTTTTTTTTTTTTAGTTTACAAGCCGATTAATGGTTGCAAAACTTTCAGCCAGTTGCAAATTCAGTAAAGCAAATAAGAGTATCACGTTAATCGAGGGCAATTTTGCACATTAGTTGATCATAAAAAGTTATTTTAAAGCTACAGCAACCGACTCAGTTTGACGAAGGTTTACAATTAAATTGTTTGCACTTCATTCAAAACTGATAAAAGGTACCGGAGACTATGCTTAACTGTTTTTAATCGATTGTGCTGTTTTCTGCTCAATAATGTAGTAATGTATTACATATACAAATATATTATATTAGGAATATATTTTTTTTTATTTTGATTAATACAAATATTTATTTACTCCAATCCGATCTATTAATACAGGGTGTTCCTAAATAAGTGTCGCAACGGGAAACTGTAAATTCCTCTTGAAAAAAGAATCATTTTTTTCCTCTTCCATTTTTCTCTCAAGGTTTTTGTTTTCGAGATACACGGTGTCAAAACTTTAATTTTTTTTTAGTTTTTCGCCAATATCTTAGGAATCGTTTGAACTACAGGACTGAGCTTTTGTACACACATTACCACTATTAATAGCTACTTTTTCGCACCCTTCTCGAATTCATTGGACGTGCCAGTGGTGGAGATTTTAAGGTATCGTAAGGGTTTTTCCCCCCCTAAATTTTACGCCACTGGAAAAATTGACTTTTGACAGCAAATTCTAAAGCGCCAATGAATTTTACACAATAAGAGTTCTCTTGGTTCATTGCTCTAAAGTCAACCGTTTTCAAGAAAAATGACTTTTTATGAACAAAAGCAAACATTTTTGCTAACGTTCCATGTCAATACTATCGAAAAGTTGACCGATAGAGGTGAAGCCGCAGCGGCAGAAAGAAACATGATTAGAAGATGTAATGCGTGCATTCAAGCCAACGGACGTAATTTTGAACAGTTTCTGTAAATTTTACTCGCCAAATTGATAAAAAAAAGTTAAAATCCTATCTGTTGTTAAATTTCGTTAAAATTGTTAATTATTACTACCTATTTTTTGAATTACAAAAGATTTTCGAAACGTTAGCAAAATGTTTGCTTTTGTTCATAAAAAGTCATTTTTCTTGAAAACGGTTGACTTTAGAGCAATGAACCAAGAGAACTCTTATTGTGTAAAATTCATTGGCGCTTTAGAATTTGCTGTCAAAAGTCAATTTTTCCAGTGGCGTAAAATTTAGGGGGGGAAAAACCCTTACGATACCTTAAAATCTCCACCACTGACACGTGCAATGAATTCAAGAAGGGTGCGAAAAAGTAGCTATTAATAGTGATAATGTGTGTACAAAAGCTCAGTCCTGTAGTTCAAACGATTCATAAGATATTGGCGAAAAACTAAAAAAAAATTAAAGTTTTGACACCCTATATCTCAGATAAAATAGGTATTTTTTAAACATTTTTATTTGTGAAACGACCAAGAGATGTCGACGGTTTTGTCAAACAACATATTCGTAGGAAAAGTAAATAATAAATTCAGATTATTGTTAATATGATTCCTATTTCATATTACTGGTTAAATGTGGCAAGTGAATAAACTGTAAAGAATAATATTTCACCCATCATGCTCACAATCAGTTTGACAAGTACTCTTTATTCTTCCCATTTCCATTTTTTTATTCCTTACTGAACCAAATTTAAGGAGAGAAACCACATTAGGTTAAAAAAAATCAGATACATTGTTAGTATAACTATTCAAGAATATGTTGCTAAAATTTCAAAACCAAATTCCTATTTGCTCCGATTTTGAGCCTAAAACCGAACGCCCATCGGATCATAGGAGCACTTGTTCAGGGAGTCTAATAGTCGCTTATTAAGCAAAAAAAAGGAATAGATGCAAGCTCAGAATGATGCCTATGGGGAAGAAGGGCTGTTATATGGTGCTGGAATCGCTGATTGATAGGAAAGCTACTCTATATTATTGATAACTTTCTCAAATTTCACTTTTCGAAATCTTCAGACGAGTTTTTCTTGAAACGACATTTTTTTGATTCTCGGGAACTCTAGCTCAAAAAGTTATGAATCGATCGTTATGACAATTGAAAATATGTTTCTTTATGAAATTTTAAGGGTTTTTTTTTTATTCAAAATAAGTGAAAAAAAAAATTGTGAAAAGCGAAAAATTTTGTGTCAAACACGTGTCAAAACTTCAGTTTTTACCCGCAATGAGGTTCATATTCTTATAAAACATGTTAATAATGCAGGAAAACGAACATTTTGTTTTCAGATCAAAATTGCGACCTCCACATTTCCCGCGAACAACCAACTCGGACAACAACCTTTGGTAGACAACAGCCCATAACTTCGGCATTTTCAACACACGCGACTTGAAAAAATTTGTATATGCAGTTCAAAATATTGATAAAATAATGTCAGTTTCATCAAATGCTAATCAATTTGTCCCACTCAAAAAAAATTCATGAGAAATGGCTGAAAATGTGGTTAATTATCACTGCGCAATAGAGATCTTGGAAATTATTAGATAGGTATACAGAAAAGCTTAAATGGTAAAAGTAATACAGAATTTAATATTTATCAACATACGACCAAGAAAACAACATTTTTATCTGGATTTTATTCATAAATTCCATATCCGCATTGCACATTTTGTCCGCCAGACATGAATCAAATTCCACTAAGTTGGCAACACTGTTAGTTCTTCAGGTTTTCAGGGTCGCTGGTCACGAATCGCAAGTCAGAATTAAAAAAATTTTAAATGCATGGTGCGAAAATAATATGGTGTGCGCAATCATGTTTAAAAAGTCAAGTTTGAAATTTGAAGAAACGTTAATTGTTTTACATATATTTTACAATAAATAAAATTAATGATTAGATTGCAACAGCTCTGGATTATTTAAAAAAAAAACTACAGAAAGTTACATTTTCATGACAATATAAACCATGTCAGCATTGTTCTCAAGTGACGTTACCATATGCGCGTAGACCCACCATACTATTGTCACACGGGTCTAATCAGCCAGATCACGTCAGCTTTAAAACAACACGGGTGCTGCGATTTAGCAGACGTGTCCTGGGGATTAAATCTGGACACGAAAAAATTCTAAAACTGTAGACTTTGTGAGTGCCATAGCTCTGGGGGTCAGATTTCCAACCACAGAAAGCTCCTAATATGCAGATTCCTCAGCACCATAGCCCTGTAAAATGAATTTCCGAATATGGATGAATACTCCAAACTAATCACATTTTCTCTAAGGTGATATTTAAATAGTTCGTTATGCATTTTGAGGAAGAAGAGTAGTAAGTTCAGGTGCAGTAATGAGTTTTATGGAGGAAACGTACCATAACATCAAATATCGCATTTTTAAGTTGGTATCTATAAAACCTGATATGGTCCGTACGATATTTGCTGAAATAGAAGTCCAAGAAGACCCTAGCGTTACTTTATTGGAATTAACCACATTTAACACCCAAGGTAGAAAGACATTGGCAAAAAATCTCAAGCCACAGGCCTACCAGAGTAAATTCTTACAGTAGTTCCGATAACAGAACTTTATTGGCTTAGTCTTTTCTTGGAATTATATCTCAACAAATATCGTACGGACTGTATCATGAAGTAATTTTGAGGTCGGATTCGATAGTCTGGTTTCTGATTTAAGTCAGTCAATCGAATATAACAACAAAATGCTTTCCCTACAAGTACAGTTTTAACTTAATGTAATTGCAAATTATTTATTTATTGCTTAAATCAGTCACATTTACAAGTCCCATATATTTTAACGTGAAAATGTGTAAAATTAAAAAACTAACAATATCGACTCAAAAATTTCCTATATCTGGAGAAAAAAATTAGCAAATTGGTGTGGCTGCTCAGACAAACAAGTGCATTATTCAGGATCTGCATTTATTACATGACATCAGTCTGGTACGTCATCACAAAAAATTTATTAAATTTCATATTCAATATACAGGGCGTTAGAAATTTGACTGCCTTAATTTTAACAGACGATAGAATACAATAAAATAAACAAAAAAACCTTATATGACATGGGTCCTAACCTCTACCATTTCCGAGAAAAAAATTATCAAAATCTCCAACTTTATGTAGAAAACTTCGATTAATTAAGGAATATTGACATAACTGCGTACATAGAATACCATAAAATACAATGTTTATCATTTTTTTAAACTTCTTTATGCTTAATTCTAAAAAATAATTAGCGTTGTAATAAATTTAAAATTCAATAAAATTCATATCGAGCAATGTGACAACGGCGAGGCAGTTATTAACACGAGGTACTAAGGTATCCAGCAACCACCAATACGCAATTCAGTTGGTATTTGGATTCGACTGATTTGGAGTGTTTTTTGCGTTTTTTTTTCTGGAGATGATTATTTGGAAGACGTGAATCTTTGGGTACTTTAATTACATATTTTTCAAATTCATAATTTGATTAAAAGTTAAGTTCCTGTTTTAAGAGATCCATAATTACTAAAATTCGAGCTAAAATTTAAGCACAACACTATCTTCATACTACAAAATCGATACATTTTATTTTATTTATTTAAAAACTAGAAACTGGTCTTGAAATTATTACTAAATGTTTCACAAATATAGTTGTTTACATTTTTTCCGTAGGACAAGTCTGCTGCGTGTACACATGGTGTGCATAAGCAGGTTAAGCGCTGTTGTCATGTGATGAAACTTCCCAATATTAATACTCGCTGTATTCTGAAAACTGTTAATCTTGTTCATTTATGATTACTCTGTCTCATGCTGAAGTAATGGCCGTCAAACTTCTTACCCCCTATACGTACTGGTTTTATAAAGAATTATAACGAGAAATAAGTACCCATTCACTAGTTATTAAAGATATCTATGAAACGAGTAATAAAAATGATTAATGTGAAAAAACTGTAATAGCTATTGTAATTAGAAAGGGGCAAAATAAAGTCTTTTGTACTTAATAATAATTTTACTAACTTACTTAAATATTTCACATACTTCTATTTGAGTGTTATGGGGACCTGCTTACTGTGCTGTTGCAGACTTATGGGGTTGGTCGTACAAATGTGTTTCCACCTTACGCTCGACAGCAAACACACGGACAACGATTTTTTGCATTTTATACATATCACGTTGGGATCCATCTTGTGGACCTCTTGCAAGTGTTTTATGATTGCAGCTTCTTCTTTAAGGTTCAACTGACAGAAACTGCATTTGTAGATTATCAAGGGCTTAATGGGATTTATTGCTGACTTAACATCGTTCGATTTCAGACAGTTCTTGATTATATTCAAATACGAGAAGGAGACTTCTGGCGTGTTCAGATCCTGTACGCCTTTGAAAAAAATCAGGGATGTTTCCACTTTTGGGACAATTATTTCAGAGTATCCAACAGGATTGTTAGGTCCTTTAGTGGTGTAAGACCTAAAAGGAAGTATGGATTGAATGCCATTCGGGATATTTAAATGTTAACGGTAATAGATATTAAATTGCTTACGCTCTTGATATTTTCTTGTTTCTAAGAAAAACTGATCTACCAATATTGAATACCACGGAAGTGTTAGTGGCCATAGTATTGTTCATATTAATTTCCTCAATGTCTGCCAAAAATTGGTTAAGAATGATTCCTACCTTCAATACATCTACGTCTATCTAAAAATAAAGTTATTATTAATATACGTGTTTTATAGGAAGTTCAAGTGACCTACTTTCTGATCAACAGGCATTTAACTGTCAAATATAACACACTGCGTGTCCATAAAGTTAGGCGACTACATGCATTGATGAAGGATCGTTTTGGTGTTTCAAAACAACCCCTACTACGTATAGATATATGTATAAAGAAATATAGAAATCTACTTACATCTTTTACAGACTTGAGAATGGACATGTATTCTTTCACGTAACACCTTAACATATTTAATGTATAACAGTTCCTTCCGTTTGATGGATCGATGATTTCAATTTGATCTATATATTCACATTTATCATATGTCAACGGGATATTCGTAAAGTTAATGTATCTGGTATATTCAAAGCAATTTCTCCTTTTAAATGACAACTCGGGAGTAAAAAATTCAACTTCTATGAATGGCCAGTGGATCAACTGCATCGTGTCAATGTTAGTCCACAACAATTCAGGATGGTGTCTGAGAATAATGTCATCTAAAAAATTAAACTAACCATTGGATTTATAGAAATTTAATAATTTACCTTCTGAATCTCCAAATACCACTGAGTTTACGACAGAAGGTGGGCAGTTTATGCATATACTAAATGGAGCAAAACTTTTGGGTGCCAAAGCGTCTGTTTGTGATCCATGTTCCGTGTAAGTTTTGATTGGATTAAGTCGATCTACATCCCTCTTTTTCTCCCGTTTCATTTCCTCAATGACACTGGCATATCCATTTTTTATCAAGTAATTGAGCCGTACCACTATATATTGTCTGAATTTTTCATACCAGTCCTTGAAATTCAATTTTCCACTGAAGTACTCTTTACTTCTTTGCCATCCAGGCCAGGTCTTCATATACATTACAAGCATTACAGGTAATACTTCAGCCAAATTCTTATCCAGAACATCTAAATTTATCAGCAGCTCTTTTTTAAGCATTAAATTTAAAACGTCTATATCTAAATTTACTTGCTTTCGGTCTACTAAAGCAGTGAAACATTTTTTTAAGCCTGTACTTTTCATCTCCTTCCGAGGTTGATTTTGATCTTTCACATTCGCACTAGACATTTTAAAGTAATTAATTTATTATCTGACAATAATCAACTATACAACAACATTTATACTTTGCATTTGACATTTAATTTTCATAAAAAAAATTACAGACGTGACAGATGGCAGATAGGAAGAAAAAATTTTACCCAGTATTTAGGTTTTTTTGGCGACTGAATATTGGTGAATATCTGACTCGTAGGTCTGTGGCTTAGAGCATATACTAGATAATACTAGAGGGACTGTCCCAGTGGCGAAGAGTGTAGAGAGAGAGAGACATGTAGGAGGGTGAATGCTATATCTCTCTAGCAACATGTAATCGCGTGCTGCTAAAGAGAGATAGCATATATCCTCCTGTACCTCTCATTAAATCTCCGCTACACTCTCGGCCACTGAGACACTGCCTCCAATAGTATATGCTCTAAGGCTCTAAGGTCTGTGGTATGTGGTCTAAGCGTGGATTCCGACTTCGTACGTATCACGTAGAATGACAGAAGTAGTACGAACTATCACGAACATTGCATACAGAGAAAGAGTATTTCTCACTCAACAATAAAATTGTCCACTTTTTATTTCCCGAAATAAAAATCTCTCAATTTTTATAGCGCCATAGCAAATTTTGATAATGTATGGTTGGCAATACTGTCGTTAATTGTCATACTGTCAAATATTCATTTATGGAGGGGGCGTTGTAATGTAAATAAAAGTCACAAATTAGTAATTATTTATAAATATAACAATGAGTACAAGAAATCCTACTACATTAATGGCAATTCCAAATGAGGAAACTTTTGACTTTTTATTTAAAATTGTCTTGATAGGTGATTGTGGTACGGGAAAAACTTGCGTGGTTCAGCGATTTAAAAATGGCACATTTATAGAAAGGCATGGAAACACAATAGGAGTCGATTTTTCCATGAAAACAGTGATAGTTGACGGTAAGAAAGTCAAAGTAAGTTTTTAAACTAATAAACTGACTATACATGAAATTATAAATACTTGTTCTTTTAGCTACAAATATGGGACACCGCAGGTCAAGAAAGGTTTCGAACAATTACTCAAAGTTACTATAGATCCGCCAATGGTGTAATAATAGTGTATGATATTACTAAACGATCTTCCTTCCTATCTGTGACTAGGTGGGTTGAGGAAGTGCGACGGTACTCTGGAAATTCTGTATTACTTGCATTGGTGGGAAATAAGGCTGATTTAGAAACGTTAAGGGAAGTCGAATTCGAAGAAGCGGAAGCTATGTGTCAATACATGCCTGAGGTCTTGTTCGTTCTAGAAGCCAGCGCCAAAGATAATTCTAACATTGAGGAAGCTTTTTTATACCTTGCCACTGAATTAAAGGTAAGGTTATTCAATTAAAAAAATATAAAAATTTTCATGTGTTGTTTATTATTATTTAGAGGAGGCACGATAATGGTTTGCTGGGAGACGACGATGACGAGACTGTAAGACTGGGTGAAAGTCGAGCTGTGTCGAAATGCAGTAATTGTACAAAAAATCTGCTCTAAGTAATAATTACGCATATTTAAATCGTAAGGTGCCTTATCATGAACAAAAGTAACCGTTTCATGTTAATATTAAGGAAGTTATTTGTGGCAGTACTCCATTATTTACATGAAACCAACTTGACTTGAAAATGGAAAACGGAAATGGAGAAACGATTTTCTATCTTAATCTCTTTTAGACCGGGTGAGACACTTTTTTACATTTGTTACGAAACTGTTTGAACTATAAATAGAAATCATGTACCTACCGCAATACAAAATTTCTGAGGTTTTGTGTCTCAAAACAAATATTAACAATATTTAACTATGCTACATGCTCTTAACAGTTTGAAATTGAAATGATTAATTATAGAGATAAGACTATATGATATATTTAAAATCTTTCTGCAATTTGGTTTCTCATTTTTTTTTTAACCTACTGTTCTCATATAAAGTAGTACTTTTTTTAGTTCAATAATTTGTGCAATAATATTTTATATCTATTTTATTTCTAGGCTTGCTAATATTTAAATTTACTCCGCTTAGGTATTGCTGTTTGTGTTTTTTCTTTTATTTCTTGTAGAAGAGAGACTAAAATTATATTCAAAAGATCTTTTATAGCAACATGACATTTTTACAGCTGTGATATATAAATTTCAATCCGATTAGGTTGTTTTATCAACAAGGATATGTTTTGGATATACACCGACAATAATTCATTGATTATTAATTATCAAATTTCATATATTTGCTCATTAGTCATCACTCAAAATAGCTAATTGTAAGTTTAACTCTTGCCTAATTTCCTAATTGATATTTTGTCCAGTGATACTTCTTAGTTTTATACACAATTGCAAAGAAATTTGAATCAATTCAAAGAAACATTTAAATGCTATCATATTTTATTAAAATATATTTTTGTATTATTAATATTTGAATTATAACCTTTGTTGTTTTGATATCAACATTTTTCGATTGATATCCTTTGAGGGATCATTATTTGAACTCATTTTTAAAAATATGCACTTCTAATGATCAATTTCCTAACTATAACTGCATACATATCATTATTTAAAATAATAATAAGAATAATACTCATATTTTTAGAGATTTTGTGTGTGTCTATGTGTGTTTATTTATTTTATCGTCATTTAGAACTATTTTCACTATTTTCATGTAGCAAAGATTCTGGGATTAAATTGTTAACTTATGTCTATATAGTAATCGTTATTAAACAGGATAACGACTGTTCTTGGTCAGTTTACTCATTGCATAAAGAAATGAAGCCAGAAAAATAGGTGTGCAGTATCTTTGCAACAGGTTTTCTCATTCAAAGTTCTTGAAAATAGTTTTTCATTTCACGTTGCTAAATGTACTTGAAAATGCACTCTCTCACGGTTTAGTATATTCTTGCCAAATTTATACGGTATTCAATTTGCTACCTAAATTGTTTTTTTTATGATATAATTCGGATTTCTTTTCACTTCATTGTTATATAGGTCAATATAGATAGGTATATATGTTAGATTATGTGGGTATCATAAGTTGCATTATTTTATTTGAAATTTATTTAGTACAAAATGCGACTTATGAATAGAGAATAAGTTGGAAAGTGCAAAGTTTGTCGATCTTGTGTTGCCTGGAAAAATGAAAGATAAGGTGCTATTCACTAGTGCCTTTAAAAAAAAATGAAAAGATTATGTGAAAGAACTGTTAAAGTAATAGGAGACAATAATTTGTTTTATTTCGGTCTAATTCTAAAATTATAGAATTACAGAATCTTTTGAAGTTGTTTAAAATCTTCAATTGTAGGTTTGAGAATTAATTATGCCATATGTATATTTAGTAATAATTTATTTATTTCGTTAATGCTTTTTACATGATTTGTTATTATATTTACAATGCGTATAATACATAGGGCTGATTTGTTGTCCGCTGTTATACAATCTTTGAATTAATGATTTATTATTGGACAATAAGATATTTATAGTTTATTTGAAGGTATTTCATATGGAAATTATTTTTATAAACGACACGAAGGTCTGCAGGAACAAATCGGCTTTATGTTCATTGAGTTGTGGTATTGAGTAATATTTTAAACATATCTCATAATTAACTTAAATTAATATTTATATTGCAAATATACAAATGTTGAAGGAGTGTGAGATTCAAGATCATTGATGAGACAAGACTGAGATTAGGATGGCCCTAATTTGGTATTATGTAAATCATTTAAATCTGTCCTACATTTATGAATAATTCGGCACTAAAATTGGTAATTATTTACTATAGCATCACCCTGCCAAAGCTTCATAAAATTTTATCTACCTCCCATTTTCGATAGTGCTGAACACGAATATGAAGTTATTTTTGTGCNGTATTATGTAAATCATTTAAATCTGTCCTACATTTATGAATAATTCGGCACTAAAATTGGTAATTATTTACTATAGCATCACCCTGCCAAAGCTTCATAAAATTTTATCTACCTCCCATTTTCGATAGTGCTGAACACGAATATGAAGTTATTTTTGTGCAGTCGAACACGGTTTTCGAGAATTTTTTTTTTCAAAATTCTAACCTGGATAGTTCACAACACTATGCAGAACTCATATTTGATGTAGTTTTCAGAACATCTGTAATAAAAAATCAACATTGTTTAAGGAACAAAATTTCCCAAATTTGAACTAAAAAAATATGTATTTAATAAATAAAATTATACTAACTTTATATCGATATAAGTATGTAATCTATGCTGTATAATGTATATGGGCTGAACAGGGGGGCTTTCGTTTTGACAAAAATAGTGAAAAATAGTACCTATAAGCAACTATACAGGGTGTAACATAAAGGTTGGGAATAAATTAAACAGTGGATTTTTTATTTTAAAAAAATAAATATTTGTCATATAAAATTATGCTCTACGGATTTTCTTTTCCAAGCTGCTAAAGTGCTAAAAAATTTCAAAAAATTTAGTTTATTAATATCATTTTCAATGCAAAAATCTTTTTTTCAATTCCTATTTGACCATGTTCGGTGGCTGAGTCAAAGCGTACTTCATAATGCTTTTATTTTTATATTCCTCTGTTAGCAGTGGGAAAAAATGGTATTTACAAAAGTTTTATTTACAGAAAAATTACAAGAGCTAGAAATAAAACGCAAGAAGGTAATTTTGTTTAAAATAAAAAGTAGATCATAAAAAAATATTTAAACAATGTTTTTACCAGTGGCGTACCACAATTTTCTTTAAAAAACCTTATGGTACAATCTGTACGCGTGCCACTGAGTAACTTACAAAGGCAGTCTTTTTCCTATTACTAGGGGATTATCAAATTAAGCTAGGGCTAAAATTTCATTCCATTATCTTATAATGTTCGAAAGTTATTGGAGAAAAACTAAATTTTTTGAAACTTTTTAGCGCCCTGTAGCTTGGAAAAGAAAACCCGTAGAGCATAACTTCATATGAGAAAAAATTATTTTTTAAACAAAATAATCCACCGTTTAATTTATTTCCAACCTTTACGTTACACCCGGTATATATTATAATATCAGTTCAGAGTAACTCTAAGTTGATATTAGCTGCTAATAGTTACCATTTTTGCCAAATCGAAAGGCTCTCCAAGATGAATGAGATGAGAGTGGGAGAACTCAATGTTCATCACGAATTACAAATGGCGGATTCAAGCTACAAAATGTTTATTTATTAAATACATATTTTTTTACGAAATTTTATTGAATGCGAAAATGTGTTTCATAAACAATGTTAATTGTTCATAACAAATGTTCTGAAAGCTACATAAAATAGAAAATACCCAGAGTTCTGTGTTGCGTTATGTGAAATATCCAGGTTAGAATTTTGAATTTTTTTTTCTCGAAAACGGTTCGACCGCACAAAAGTAACTTCACATATTCGTGTTCAGCACCATCGAAAATAGGGGGGTAGAAAAAAATTTGTGAAGATTTGAGAGTGAGACGCTATAGTAAATAAAATAATTACCCAAAAATTGTCACAATTCATTATATTTGTGACGTTTTTTTCTCACATTACAATAAATTGGCGAATGTACTGTCAAATCAGCCAAATTTTGATAAAGGATCTTTTAATTATGAATTTCGCATGGCAAACCTAAATTCCTTAAATCAACTGTCATTTTGAAGCAAAACTCTATAATTCATTGTTTTAAATGTACTAAATATGGAAACTTATATTTCATGATTGGTAATAGATGGCAGTCAGTTGAAGTTTCAGGGGCAATTTATCAATATCTAGTTACTTTAGACAAACCTAAAGTCCCTAGATTGATCAAATGCCGGAATCAATGTTTTGTGTTTGTCCCAAAATGGCGGTTTGACATATGACAGTTTGATTATTCATTTATATAAATCCATAATTCAATTTTGAAAAATAACTTGTTGAAGGTAACAAAGCAATTTTCCCTATAATTTTTTTTCTAAATTTCTTTTATACGTGCTCCTTTAATAAAAGTAATGTTTGATTCTATTTGTGCACTGATTTGGTTTTCTAGACACGATATCCGATAGAAAATGATTTACCAAGGGCAGCTGCTTTCTTAAGACTTGAATTGACTGTAGCTTCCAATGTTCTATAAAAAGAGAACTATCTGTAAATAGTGATCTTGTATTCACCTCTCACATCCCGTAATCGTTTAATGTACTCAAAGACTAATGTTAAGTAAAAACCTAAATAAACATTATTTACAAATATTGAGCAAATAAATACTTTTCCTCGCAAACTATTCCAAATCCCACTTGACTTAGATTCGATCACACCCGTTTTTTATTTTTCATATCACTGAAGCTTTTGATTTACTTCCATGGAGGCCAGCCGCTACATGTTCCTCAGTAGGGGGTTGTAGGTAACTTTTTCCAGTGAATCCTCTAGGTCCTCCACGTCTGGTATCTCATTACTTTCTGAGTCATCCCTAAAAAATAAATTTCTCAAGTCTAAAACTGAACAGCATTTTTGACATTTTTTTCTCACCGGTAATGATTGTGTTTAGACATAAACAACGACTTGGGACAGTCTTTCATGTACGGCCAGCATTCGCCAGGCCCGCCAAGTTTGCCGCTCCCCGCATTTTCGGCCTCCACATATTCGTTCAGCATGTGGGCGTAGGGGGACTTACTAGCGCTAAAATGACACAGAGGTTGCATTGTATTGTCAATTTCGAATTAGAATATAAAAAGGATGTAATTTTAGATGCTAATTTTAAATTTATAACAGTAGTTGTTAAACAATTGTATTTCTTAAGTTGCAAATGCGAACCGACAAACGTTTGTTCCAAATCTACAGTGTTTCAAAAAATGACGGCATAAATTCAGGACCAGTAAAATACGAGTATAATAAAATACGAATACGTTTTTCTATACGTATAAGGTATCCAGAAACTATGGGCAAAAAATAATGGTAAAATTTCCTGACAGTTTGGAATGCTCGAAATTAGTTGCGAGTTGCATAACATTTTTTTTTAATTGATATTTTGCCATAACTTTCGAGTTAAGTTTTTTTTTCTTCTTACTAGAAAACTAATCAAAAACTAATCATAACTTTTTAATTTTTAAAAGATTAAACTGTGTAACATAGAAGATCATCAAAGTTACATCCTGTATGTAAATATTAATTTTTTTTTTGAAAAAGATATGCTATGGGCAAAATGTTATCATTTCGAAACCTTGTATCTCAAAAACAAAAGACTAGTCCATTTTTTTTATGTTGTACCAGGCCTAAATTTATGGCAGCATATTTCACATTCCTCAAGGACCAATACATGGCCCGTTGTTCAAGTTTCTCTATTATGGTTGCTCTTTAAACATTGCAGAAAACTAAAGTTTACTATAATTGGAGCGGTCAAACAAAATTAATAAACTCCCATTCAAGTTAATTAAATTTGACGGCATAAATGTTAAAAAAACGTTTACCTCAGAAACAACTTCAGCATCTCCCCGACCAGCCCGAAGTTGGTCATCGGGTGCGCGTGCACCTCGCAGATGGCTCTCAGGAGACACGCCCTTCCGTTCATCCCGAAATTTTCCAGTAACTCCTCCAGGGCTACGTAGAGCAGAGCCCTTTCGCCGCCGTGGAAGGCGCTAGCGTGGGGCTTGGGCGGTTGGTCGGTGGGGGACCTTTTCCCGCGACGCCTGTTCAGCATGCTGCCTATGTAGTCCGCTAGTATGCCCCCAGCTGCGCGGCCCATGGAACGGGCCAGCAGGGGCGGAAGGACGCCGTAAGGGTTCTCGTTGTCGGTTAGACCCAGCTTGTTGAAGTCGACTAGAATAAATGGTTAGCTGTTTAACTCGAATATGGAATGATAGTAACTGCAGAGAAATTCAAAATGATTGAAAACAGCGTCATTAATGAACAATCTTAATAGCTGTGTTTTATTCATCTGATATCTCAATTATTTTGAATGCCGATTGGTCTATTAGATGAAATTAACTGAGATCTCAGGTAAATAAAACACAGCTAGTGACAACAACGAATCTGTACCAGTGCTGCCGACTGTGACAATAAAAAATACGAAGTGATGGTGGGTAAAGAGCGATAATCCCGCTCGAGTCCGCTCCATCCGAGGTCATATATCCAGCCAAGGATAATGGCGCGTTTAACCATTGTTGATCTCCTTGTATATAATAATGAAGTAAAATAAAGAAGACATCATCACAAACAAAACTATCCACAAAAAGTATATCTTACTTGTAAATGGAAGACTAATGGTCAAATTGGAGAAAAACCCATCTGGTGGATACCTCACAAATGGCATTGACAAAGAAGGTGATATTACCAAAGTGGTACCAGGGGGTAGCGCCAATCTACCGTCTTGGGTTACCCATAATATCCTTTTCTGTCTGGATTTGACTTCTTCCTTAGAAAGACAAGGCGATATGATGTTGAGCAGTATTATAACTAGCCTTAATTGTTGGTATATGTTCCTTAGTAGTCGTTCCATATTCATCTGAAACAAAAGTTAAATTGGTTACGAATAAATAAAAAAATAACATAAAACTAAATGATGCTTAATTAAGAAAAAGTGATAAATAAGAAAAAGTCATACTAAGACCAGAGAACACTGTTGGTATAGTGTTCTCTGCTAAGACTATGCTTTAACGACTTTTTATGTCGTATTTTGTCAAAATATTTAACGAAAAAGCTCATTTCTGATAATAGTCGTGTTTTAATTACTGAGATCTCAGTTAATCTAATTGACGAATCAGCACAATAACGGATTTGCTGAGCCCTCAAGTGAATAAAACACTGATTTGCTGTGCAAATCAATGCAAAGAGGAAATAACAGTATCAGAGCAAGATAAAAAATTCCGGAATTTACTTTTAAAACGTGATTGAACCGAATTTGAAGCGTTTAAGTCAAAAATCTCGCGCGCGACGAGAGCGGCGTTCAGGCGCCTGCGCGGGTCTGGCGCTCCTGCATCCAGGCCATTCATTAACGTTATCTTTTACTGCTGCTAGCGCGTTTATTACATGAACTGTCAATGTAGAACTTTCTGAAAAGAAAAGTTTAACCCTTCCCTTAATTGTCTTTAAAATCCCGGTTCGTTACGTCCAATAGTTAATTAACAATTAACATTATACAGGGTGTTGCTTCACGAGAGGTACACGGCTTAATTGGAGATAGAGGAAATCTATGGTAACTAGGATCGCCTATGGAAATAGCTTCTTGGCCATTCTATATTGAGATACAGGGTGATTTATGATTTTTGGTCAAAACTGCTTTATGTCATATCTTTGGTAGGGAATAGCGTAATGGATTCATATTTGGTAGGATTAATGCACTCACGATACTTCATGTATGACAGCAAAAAAATCCAGGTCCGGACTGCAAAAATTGTTAATTTTTTGTGCAAGTCTAGAAAACAACACTGTATGTATTTTTTTGAAATTCCGATACGATATTGGGAAAGAGCATAAAAAAGTGAACTCTCTGTTTTGTATGTTCTACTTTGGTAGTTTTAAAGGACAACTTCATTTCAACTTTTTGAATTTTTTCTTTTTCGATACGTTTCATTGAATCAATAATTAGAACCTAAGTATACCTATGAGTTTGACTTCTAAAATTAACTTTTAGTAGGTACCTAATTAAACAATTAGTTGCAAAAAACGAACAAAATTAATTAACAAATAAATACCTGGAGCGAGAATTTCACGGTCAATCAAATCGGTCTTTGGCATACATGTTGGTCGTTGGATGGTCTTTTCCATAAATTTCATTAAGATCCACCGTTTATTGCAATAATAATGCGCAATTTTCGAAAACTGATATTTCCGCGTTCGACCTTTATTTTATAGTGGTGAAATATGACTAGATGCCTTAAATTGTAGGTAATTTAATTGCCTTTGCCTACAACAGAAAATCACTAATTTTCCAATAGCAGTAAAAAAAGTGAACACGTAATTTTGCAACTTATTTGCAATTTAGCGTCACTTTTTTCGAGTTACTTTTTTGATATTATTATTCTACATAAGGTGCAATAAAATATTAACTAATAATTTTTCTACGATCAAATTCTACTTCGACTGGAGTATTAACACTTTTAAAAATACCTACAAATATTGCCAGATTCCTGCAACTAGAAAATCCAGAAACATATACGTCACACTTAGCAGACGTCAGTACTTTGAAGCGTTTTGTTGGGAAAAATATTTTGAACAACAATGCTGACGCTACCTCTCTACTACATCTCAACATCTTGCTTTATTGTTATTACTTCCGAGGCTACCAGAGGCTACCTATCTCTTCTACCGCTCGTACTGCAGTTACAGTAGTGAATATTAACAAAATGATGTTTCATAAAGAAAATGAGCTCCCTTGTGTTAGTTTTGAGAGTGGAATCCAATTTCACAATGCAATATTTCATTTTAATATAAATAATTAATTGTTTACTGTTTTGTTTCTTTAAGTTATCGTTATTTTGTTTTAATAGTAATTAAAGAAATTTAGTTACTGGTGATTGCAATTTGATTTTAGCCACTAAAAACCAGTCCATAAAACACTTACAAAGCTGTAACTGTTGGACATAAATGTCAAATTGCCGTAATAAAGGAAGAATTGCAAACGCTTATCCTTAAAAAAAATACAAACATATGAAGAATTATCGACATTCCATTTCTAAATTTTATTATCATTTTGCCGTGACACCGTCAGCCTAAATTCTAAAAGGTTTACGTTCATACAGTGCCACTTAATAATGAATCGTCCTGCATTCTAAAAACTATGATTTAATGAGTTTGGATTCGTTCGCCCGCAGTCATGGACCTGCTTATATAATTCCAAACGAGTTCCATGACCTTGACCGAGTGCGTCTGTAATATATGTAATTGCAAATCCGGGATCGGTTGACACCTGATGGCTAATGGCAATACGAAGAAGACAACGATAATATCTGCGCCATAACAACGTTAGACTATCTATTACTTACGGGCATGCCGAGATTTTTCAGGCGCAAAATCGAGAGGGCCAGTCGAATGCGGACGACCTCTTGTGCCATTTTTTGGCACGCGCCGTCTGCGACAGGTACTGAAACAAGGACGCGCAAAAAGTCCGTTATGAAAAAAGGCGGCCGAAATCTCGTTCTCGAAGCGAACTGCCCCAAAGACGTAATGTGGGCCTTTTATCTGTGTTAATGGCGAAATTATGTGTTTCGATTTACGCTTTATGTTTATTTGGTTTTTAAGGTGCATACAAACGAAGTAGTTATCGGATAGGGCGAATGGTTTGATTTTGAAGGTGGATTCGAGACAGTGAAAGTGAAGTTGAAGAAGTGTGCGACATAAAAAAATTAAACAAGGTGTTCTACAAGCTGTGTGACAAACTTTGACAGATGGTAGCTGGGTTAATTTCAAACATTTTTCTTATATGAACGTAGGTCGGATTCGTTTTTGTTTAGAAGTTACAAACATTTAAAAAAATATTATTTCATATTTCAATCAAGGTAGCCCAATAAAAATGATGGTTGCTACAACAATAATTATTATTTGAGTCATTTTGTTTATTTATTTGGCATTTCGTGTTAAAATGCTAAATAAAAAATGCATTTATTTGCAACTGAATAGTATGCATATGTATATTATTTTTGTAAATGTGTATTCCATTGGGAGACAAGCAGCTCGAGAATACCGACGAAGATACCCAAATAGACATCAACTTTTTTTATCTTCGATTTTTTATATCATAATCGAAAAAATTGAAAATAGAAACAAAAATCCAAAAAAATATTACTTAGAACTGGTGATAATGACAACCCCATTGTTATTCCAACATTTTGTTGATAAAATCCATGATTTAATTGAAAATATGTAGTTTTTAAAGATAAACTTAATAATCACATTATATCTATACCTAAGTTAGTTGTATTTGTCAAACTGTTATCATTTTCTAATTTATTTTTGATAATGTTCAACGTTTTATCTACTGATATATTAGTGAATAGCCTATTAGTATTCAAATTATTTAAAGAACGTGTTTCCAATAGATGTTTATTGTTTTCAATGTATGAATCAGAATGTCCAAATAAAAGTTCCCAATAAATATTTTGCCAATTATTAGCATAGACGAGCGCAAAGATTACTTTCAAAAACGAGAATTTGAGAAATTAAAAATTTGCGATCATGTTTGGGAAAACGGTCATATAATTCAACGGGGTTCGGACCACATGTTTAGAAAAAAAGTAAAATACGAATAAAAAAAGAAATAGCATAAAATCAGTTTCCTTTGAATATCTTCGGAACTATTCGGAATTTTTTAAATTTAAGAACGAATCCATGATCGGCATAAAATTCTACACATTTCTGATCATTTAATCATTTATTCATCTCCTGTATAGTGATATGTATTTTGTATTTATCTGCTTTTTTAATTGTTAGATTTTTGGTTAGGTAAGACTCCGTTTTCATAAAAAATAATCCTTGTTTTATCCTTTTCATTATTTTTTTAAATTTTGTTCGCGGATAGTGAAATAAAAAAAATAAAATAGAATGTCCATTAGAGTTTGCTAGTATGTGTATTGCCAAGAGGTGACAACTTGATACTTGAATAATTCGTTAAATACTCTCTAAATAATAGTACTTCCAGTAATCAAAATCGTTAGGGTACTTAAAATTAATAATAATCAAAACTGTTAAAATTTTGAGAACCCCTGGAATCGTTCCCGACTTACACACCACATAAAAAAGAGTAAACAGAAAAATTGCTTGCTCAATTTTATGTTTTAATATTAGGTTATTAGTATTAGGTGTTTTAGTATTTTATGTATTAGTTTTTATTACCGAAACTTATCTGTTTATTGTGAATATTATTAAGGCGGTTTTCCACTAAACGGACAAAACAAAAACACAAACATGAGTCGAATAAAACAAAACTGTAACTTTTTGCAAACTTTTTGAAGACTGGCGTGTTTTGCGACAGTTGGAGTTTTGTTTTTCGGGTCCCGCTCGAAAGCGGTCACATCAAAAGGTTTTGACGTGTTTTGAAACTCAAGTCTGTTTAGTGGAAAAAGTCGTGTTGTGTTTTCTATTTAAGTGGTCCAACCCAATATCTATGTTGGCATTTTCTTCTTCCCAAAAACAATATTTTAATCATTAATGAATTATAGCTATTAAAAAATATATATGTGTACGGTTAAGGTGTTTACTTGGCTAGTATACAAACTAACTAACTAATCAAGTAAACACTTTAACCGTACATATAGATATACGTTTACTTTTTTTCAAGGACTTCAGTATAAACCAGCCATAAATAAGAATAAACAAATCTTCTCTAAACATGTTGGTTGGTTATTAGAAAAATGTGTTTCGGCTTCTTCGCGACAACCAGTGAAAAAGGACCGAAAACAAAAACAAAACTCGAACAAATTGTAGCCCGCTTGATGCAAACAAGAGTTTTGGGTTTGTTTCAGTTTTGTTTTTGTTTTTCAGGTTCTAGAAAACACAAACAGGACATAAACTCAACTGAGATATTTTCCTAAATTCTTCTAAATGGGTTTTGTTTTTATGAAAGGGCAGTGAATCTTAGGTATATGGTATATTTATTAGTAAGTGCGAATAAACATACGAAAATAGTCCAACAAAAAGTAACATGAACTAATGGACATGGTTTTATGGATACGCTAATGAAAACCGCGAGTTAATTCTAAGAAAGTTTTCTTCGTATCAGTGTGGTAAGTCAGTGAAATCAAAAAATATATAGATCTGGCAGAAATGATTAGAAGAACTCCAAACCCATATTTCTTGAAGCCGATCACACTGTACGTATCTCATACAATTTGCAACTTATCACGTGCCAGCTAGCAGACATTTATCATGAAAATATTAACCCAAATTATCTTGATAAATGTTAAGGAATCCGCTGGAAAAAAACTGGTTTGACCTACGATTGCCGTTAATGAGCGAAGAACTTATGAACAAAAAATCGACACAAAATACAAACATTCGTTTCTCGCGTTGTATGTCTGATTCCAGTATTCCAAATTCAGTTTGTAGGTGAGCGTGTGCGAAGCAAAAAAATTGATATTCAGATGTTACGTATTGGGGTCGCGGAATTATGCATGACTTTTTTGTCAGGTTATATCAAGTATTTGCTTGGGGAGACTGCATCGTCGAAATCAGGACTCCTGTGGATTTTCCAGACCGAACGTGCGAAGATCTAGATAATTATTATGATTATTAAAGCGCCTTCAGTTACGACTAAGCTTTGGATTAATGTGCCTTGTGCTATAATTCTAAATATTTGACACATGGGTTAAATTGTCCAGTACGTAGAAAAGACGAAACACCCAACAGTCCCAACATCCTTATTACACCAGGAAAATTAGCGAACATAAAAGAGAAACTCGAAAAAAGTCCTATCCGCGAGATTATTATACAATTGTCTAAACTAAAGGAACATAATACAAGACATCTCTCATCTCGTGAGTCAAAAAATCTTAATAGCTAACTTTTCTATTTAAACAAATAAGTGAGGAAAACAGTTTTTTCACTTTGCAGGGAAAACCATCAATTTTAGCGAAAAGTGACTCTCATACAGCTTGTAGGGATTATCTACAAAATGAGACTTGTTAAATTAAAATCGGTTAATAAACAAAAAAGTTATTGCAAAAAAACAAGAAAAGTGCCCATTTTTTAATTTGTTTATAACTATCGCATTTATTGTTAAAATTTTATAAAACCTATGACAAGTTGAGAGTTTTGTCATACTTCAAAAGTGTGCCAAAAGTGGGCGCTGTAGGTGCAATAGTTTTCGCACAATTCAATTTGTTTATAACGGAGGCTCCAAAAGTTATAAACTTTAAGCCTCTCTACAGGCGTTAATTTTCAACCAAACATGATTCTGAAAGCGTCATTGTAATCTTAAAGACGTAATTAAGCGACCTATTAAAAAACCGTGCTTTTTTCGCTTATACGAAAATATTGTCATTAACAATCACTAAAATTTTGACATAAAGTTAATTAGTTTAAAATATTACTGAGGATGTATGCGTTGTTTATGAGACATCCATCAATAAGTTTTGACATAAGCCTACTTTGAGAAAAGTCACTCATTTTCTACGCCGTAATACTGCAAGAGTTCAAATGAAAGCCATTTTTCTCGAAAACCGTCCACATTAAGAAGTTCTAACAAGAGTACATTATTTTTAGAAAATAAAATTGCACATTGGAAATTGGAGCCCGAATGCTAAAAATCCTAACCTCAAAAAAATTAGAACTTAAAATGTAATACGAATGTAGCATAACTAGCGCCCTCTATAAAATATACAAAAAATAATTAGCCCAGCCTATTTGGCGTCCTTAAAAACCCCGAAAATATTTCGCACCGTTTGGAAATTTTTGAAAAAATTCTATTTAAAAAATTTTATTTTGTCGCTCTGTATCTCGAAAACAAGAGGAAATAGACATATACACCCCCTACCCCCCTACACCCTGTATAACTTTATTTGCTGGCATCAGTTAAGATCTTTGGACATATTTTTTTCTACTTAGATTTAATGACAACAGGATGTTCCATTTAAAAAATATCACGATGACGTTACAGAAATTACCTAATGTCGTCATAATCGAAACAATGGTGTCAAAATAAGCACAAATTAATTAAAAAATTGAAGTATTCGAGCGTTTTTGGGTAAATTATACAGGGCATATTTTATTTACGGTTTTCATTCTAAACGTTCACACTGTAGATATGTATATGTATTTTCAAACAATGTTTGTTGAATTAATGGTTATTGTGGAATTTGTTAGAATTTTTTGGATTTAGTACACCCACTACCCAGAATATGTTTCCGGTGTTCATATCCTTTTGAGAAATTCTGTAATATGTAATTTTTTGACGTTGAACAATAAACAAAACGTCAGTGGTCTAAAAATTTTAAGGTTAAGTGACAGGAATATCCTTCGGTATATTCGTCCAGTTAACAACCTAACTCAACTACTATAATATGGGACTATTTTATTACGATAATCGCCAATTAGAGAAATGGATTATTTTATTACGAAG